CCCCTCCCGGACCCCCTCGTTATAATTAGACTTTTACTCATTAAATCAATCCCGTTCGCTTTTAATCGATGAACCGTATATCGGTTCGATCATTAATTCAATAATCAGTCTACTTGAAATTACGTTCTCCCATATGTCTCTTATATTTCTATTTCTCTATTTATATATGCATATTGAGAACAGGTTGAATGATCGTAGGCGAGAAATAAGCCGAGGTCAAAGGTCTAATATTGATTTCGTCTGACTCCACGTATGTACGGTTCATGTGAGTAAGACTTGACACAGCCGAATGACCCAAATCGAAGATGCATCTTGATTCGATAAGATGACTCGGTATAGACTGCATGAAGATCAATCCTTGTGTCCGTAAAATGTCAATGCTGTCACGTATGACATTTGAAAGATTTGCTTGTCTTATTTTTCTAGAAAAAAATAAATGTTTCGGGAATCCAGGAGATAAAGTTTCATTTGTATGCTGGACTGTACCGGAAAAAACACGTGTCAAGCAGAAATGAAGTAAACTGTCGGTTGGGCAGTGGGTCCTCCAGGTCTGCGTCAAGAGGATGAGGGGAGACGCGTAGAGCGTGATGCTGTGACATCCGACATGCGACGGCACGATGTGTGACATGTGACATACTGTAGGACTGTTACAATCGCACTAGCAAGTAGCCAAGTGCCATATTGTCTGTCTTCATGTATTGAATGCAGAGCCTGAATATAGTAAAGCGCAGTATAGCAGAGGTGTGGTATAGTAAATGCAATGGGAGCTGGATGCTGGATGCTGGGAGTTGGGATTTGGGATTTGAGAGGTTATTACATACCACTAGCCCTTACAACTCGTATTTGACCCCGTTCACGTACAAGTTGTAATCAAAATTATGGGTACGTCATCGAGATGCAGGGACGCTGGGGCGCTGAGCATATAGAATCTCCAGTTACATTTAGATATGTACATGGAAAATTAGTCCGATCACGTGGTACGGCTGATCATTGAAACTAGCCCTGCATCATTAATTTCAGATAAACGTACAACGAGATAAAAAGTCATTAAATGTAGAAACATCTTTGGGATAAGACTTACCGAGGCTGCAGATGGTCAGAGATTCAGTGGGATAGGGCTTGCTTAAACTCTGCTTAAATAAGCTGAGACCGTTGCTGGCTTTCGCTTCCATTGGAGTTCGAGAAAGCTCGCATAGCCTGTTCCTGGTTCCGCTGTCCAAAATTTATGCGAAACACCTGCGTCTAAAGGCAAACGAAGGCGACTAACATAAGCCAGAGGAAAATGAGACGAATGTGCTGGAGTTTCAGGTTAGAGGAGGAATCTGGTAAAGTTAGGTTAGGTTGAGGTTAGAGGATAGAGGAGAAAAGAGGGAGAGAGACAGAGAGGGAGATAGAGAAACAGCAATCACATTATATGTACATACCGAATTCATAAAGCAATGGTGAATATTCTGTAGCCAGACGCGTGAGCCGCTGTTAAGCGACATGGCGAATCTACGACAGGCGTCGATAAAATTTTCATTTCGAGATTTTCACTAGGATGCTCACATCGACGTATCAGCCTAGCTTCCGGCGTATTCAGCCATTCCGATTACTATAACCAGAGACAGTGTCAATATGTCTCTCTATATACCGCTGGCGATTTCATATCCTCTAGAAACTTGTGAATTAATCGATAAATCCTCAGACCGACTGTGTCCTAACCTGTCCAAGTACGACTGCGATACGAAATACTGTGTTGATCGTATGGATCGTACGGACGGATCATAGACGTGAATTTCCGGCGAGAACATAGATGGCGCTGACGGTGGGAAAAGGGCGAAGTTGTTGCCGGAGGGTCAGCCTGGAAGCCGCGATATATTAAAAGTTCATAAGCCAAGAGGACGAGGACGATGAGTGCTGGTGGAGGAGGGTGAAAGATGATGATAAGGGGTGAAATGTGGATATGAGAGAGGTGCTTTCGAATTGCGTCGACAGATGCTCGATAATGGAGGTGTTTCGTATGAGCTTTGCTGTCCGAGGTTATGTTATGATGCTTTTCTATAAAAGCTGCATCGTCATTTCTGCATCATCGTTCACGCTGCCATCTTGGATAAATCGCCGTTTCACCAACCGATGTTTAACGCGCAAATGAGAATCTATTAAGCTTTTCTCATGGGTGAGTCCGTACTGTGTGCGTTCGTGTAGACAGCTAAAGCCTTTTCCCTGTTTTTCCTGAAATTCCGACGAAACTTTTCACGCTACTGAAAAATCTAAAGCATTTATACGAGTTACGACGCGTTATTTGCATTGGTGAGAAATACAGCGACGTCTCTGGCTGAGCTTTCATAACCACGTATGAGCTTGGATAAATGTATATGCTCGTGCTTTTAGGAGGCGAGTTTTACGTACGGATATCCTCTGTACAGTGTACTCTTAGAAATATTGTAAATACTATGAAGAACAGAGAGCGAGGACCTTGTGGTACAGAAAAGTAAGAGCGTAATACGTATCAACGTAGCGACGGGAAAACTACGCGACCCATTGTGATGATCGAAAGTCGTACATAATTCAGGCGTAGAGATGTAAATGAATAAATAAAAAGTTAGTAGGGATTAACTGAGAAAATTTTTTATTAAAACGAATGAAAAAATATACGAAATTTCTCGGTAACTATGCAAATGTGTGTTGTTCATACCGTGGAACGTTCAGAATTTCTTTTTACGTCTGAACGTAAACTACGAATTCGATCTCGTCCCCTGGGAAAGTTTTTTAACGTTTGAATTCGATTTCCTTAGGATTCCCATAAAGGACAAAGGGAATATAGGTTATGGTCGTAATAGTGAAACGTTGAGAATTATATACGTGAAATTTTTTGTTTGAAAAAACAGAAAGAGCGCAGTTGGAAATCGAGCGCAATCCGTGCCTTGAGGGTTGACGTTAATGAAGTGTCTTCGTAGAATAAATCGAAGGGGTGAAAGGTCAAGGAGAAACGACGAGAGAGGTGAGGGATGAAAGGGAGGCTGAATGCTTGGTGGCGAGGATGAGAAGCCCAGGATCAAGACGATGGTGGAAAGGGGTGAGTGGATGATGAGCATCGTCGGTGAAGGATCCCAGATAAAACGTGGATATTGCTGTGATTAATTAAGCGAAAGATATACGCGTATTTGGATGCCGGACCATTTGAGCCGTACGATACATTTATCACCGTGCGAAATCAGTGCTCTTTAAACGCGGGAAAATTTCATATCCCCGTTGTCGAGCTTTGAGCAGAGTTACTTTGGGTTGAAGGAGGAGCAATAAAAAAAAATAGGATTCGCATAAATTCAATTGATTGCAGGGACGAACTTGGGATCTTTATCAGTTTTACGCTCCGTTTCCTTCCATTATCACATTTTTCTTTTCATTTCATTCTTCCGAGATCCCTTGCTTGTTAGAGGGTTGCGTATCATGGAATTACTGTTATACGTAATACAAATATACTACAAAGGAATGACCGTATAAATTTCTTCTTTTTTTTTTCTTCTTTTATTTATTTCCTATATGACAGATGTATAATATTCTTGCTTCTACTTTCTTCCTTCTGCTTCCTGCTTCTCGTTCGTTCTCTAATATTCTCTCTCTCTCTCTCTCTCTTTTTCTCTTACAGTCATATATAAGTACACGCGCACAGTTTACTCATTCACTCCCTTCGTCTCATACGCAGCAGACACTCATAGAGATAGCAAAAAAAAAAAGTAATACTTCCTTGTGATTACAGTACTAGTATCACCGTAAAGTACAGAATAATTTCTCGCGGCTACTCGATAAGGTTCATGGCGGATCCATGAGGATTAAGATTGATTGTTGGATCGATGATCTATGGTCGACTGATTTTTATGTATCGAGAGTCTCGAGGGGGTTGGGTAATGGCGCTACCCTTAAGTAAAGTGGTTTCACCGCGTAGTTACTTGAAAATCTTGAGAAGGAGTGTGCCGAATTTTCATACACTAAGCTAGAACGTTTTACTACGTATTGTCTTTGCAACAAAGCACTGCGGTATATGTATAGATATTAATATCCACTATGATCTATTAATTACGTTTAACTAAGTATCAAGTTAAGTATACGTTTAAATAGTTGTGTTAAGTTAGGCAGCCCTTCTCGCTATACGCGTTCCTATCATCACCTTTTGACAATTAATTTCCTCTGGAATCAATGGCTCCCACTTTATTACGTAAGGCACGAGCTGTCGGGCGAAGCAGGCAGCCAGGTTAAAATTTTAGTTAAATATTTCAACCAGTCAGTTTTATATTATCGTTAATCTAGAATTCGAGGAATTCAATTGGTATCTTTTTTTTGGAAGCATGATTAGAAACAGTCTCGAACATTGTTTGGCATCGAGGATAGTGTATTATTTGAATTTTGAAAAGTAAAAGGGCTATCAATGTTTTTCTGCAGAACTGGAGGAATTTAAATTGACGGGGGGTTTTCAAAGATTACTCTTAGAATTGTAGTTACTGGAACCGAGAGTATCGCAAACCGTGAAAAGTTAAAAATCGAAAATAAAATGAAAAATTGTGGTCACGTATTGTTGAGGCTATTTTATATCTATGAATCCGATCGTATTACATATACTTGCAATCTTTAGCCCTCAGCTTTCCCTCTCGCAGCGACGATATACTATCTCTCATTTTGACGTAACGCGGTCTAGCGTCTAAAAAAAGAAACTTAAGAAGATAATACTAGACATCTAAAAATCAAAGTACGACGATAGCGTAATAACGGATAACTATGAATCACCATACCGTGCCAAAGAAAGTAGAATACAGAGAATAACATTTAAACATAGAGAATAAAGCGGATATACGTGGGTGAATATTACAAACGATCAATGGACATTCGTGTTATTCCCTTTTTACTAGGAGTGTACCGGTTGTCGAATATGCTCCGTTTACGAAAGCCTAGAGTACTCGTGGATATTCTATTTTGTTTATAGGTCAGAATCAACCAATAATTCTTAACTATCAAAAGCCTATTCCATGGCGGCCTCTTGTAGAGCGTGTAGATGGGCGTAAAGTCCATCAGCAGCAATGAGGTCATCGTGAGTACCCATTTCGGCTACCATACCCTTCTCCAAGACGCAAATCACATCAGCATTTTGAATAGTTGCCAGACGATGGGCTATCGTTATACAGGTACGACCCTCCATAGCTTTATCCAGAGCGGCTTGTACAATCTAACAAGGAATAAATGATACATTGAAGATCCCTCTGTTTCCATTAACTTCATTTACCTCTATTTATTCGATATTTGGGTTATTTAATATTTTTACCTTCTCGCTCTGCGTGTCCAGGGCAGAAGTTGCCTCATCCAATAGAAGAACTCGAGGATTTCTCACCAGGGCGCGGGCGATAGCTATACGTTGTTTTTGCCCTCCGGATAATTGGGTGCCTTTTGTTCCCAGTCTGGTTTCGTAACCCTAAAATGATAAATGATCGTTGTAGTACCTGATAATTGGATGCCAGGAATTTTCTCGAGAGAAGCTGTGAAGTGAATGTTAAGATACTGACCAGAGGCAAGGAACTGATGAAGCTATGAATATTCGATTTCTTAGCAGCTTCAATAACTTCATCTAACTGTACGTTCCGCTCGTTGTCGCCGTAGGCAATGTTCTCGGCGATCGTTCTGTCAAAGAGAACTGGTTCTTGGCCGACGACACCAAGCTGTGCACGTAGAGCAGACAAGGAGACCGAGGTGATGTCACGGCGGTCCATCGTAATGGTACCTGAGATTGGATCATAGAGACGCTGAAGAAGCTGGATGCAGGTAGACTTTCCGCAACCACTTTGACCGACCAGGGCGACCATTTGTCCAGGTTTTACGATGAGATTGAGTCCACGTAAGATTTGCATTTCCGGTCGAGTTGGATAGTGGAACTCGACCTTGGAGAATTGAATGAGGCCATCGGCTTTCTGAGAAGAAAGAGAGCGATTCAAATGTAATATCAAGAAAGAGAATAGGAGATAGGAACTATTATATTGAATTGAAAAGTGGATGAAAAATCAGGACCTACCCAATCCTTATCTTTTCCTTCGAGTTCCGGCGGAGTTGTGATTTCTGGTACTCTGTCGAGAAGTCTGAAGATTCTGCCCGCTGAGATTTTTGCGGTATTGAAGTTTGGCGCGAACGCAAGAGCCTGGCCCAGCATCCAGGATCCAAAGATCAAGGCTTCCGAGACTTTGATCACATCCTGGTAATGAAGATTTTTCCTGGCGACGAGGTAGCCACCGTAATAAAGACTGAGAGCATAACCGAAGTAAGGGGTGGTTTGTCCGCACGAGAAAACAAGTCCTCTTAGTCGGTTTCTGGTCCTAGTAGCCTGGGCGACGTGAGCAAGCACAGCGTTGTACCTCTCCAGGAACGCATTCTCCTTTCCAAGACTTGCGACAGTTCTTATATTTGAGATGGCCTCGATAGCTATTCTAGTTGCACCCTCCATCTTCCTCTTCTCCTGAAGACCCTGGCCACTCATGATTCGCGCCTCAAAGAATACTGCTCCAAGGACAAGAGGAATCGAGACGACGGACACCAGGGTCATCTCCCAGGTATAGTACATGGAAACTCCGATACCAAGAACTAGGGTAGACAAGGCCTGAAGAATGGCACCGATACGACTTCCGGTTGCTCCTTGGACAGCTGCAGCGTCCGAAGACAGTCGAGCGCATAGGGCGCCAACACTGTTTGAATCTTCGTCGTACCAACCCATCTCTTGCTTAAGCATTGCACTGAATGTGGTCTTCCTGAGCCTTGTCGTCATGCGTACTCCAGCTAGACCAAACATGTACATCTGCAGGAAGGTACCCAACCCGGTGAGCACGCCGACGCAGATGAACAGGATTGAGAATCTTACTGTCTCCTCCCGAACTTTATCCTCATCCTGAAGACCCAGGACAAAGTATACTTCACCAAAAAGCACAGCGAATGCAGGAAAAGATGCACCTACTGTCGCAGCAGCCACGCAACCTGTCGATATATTACAGTGTCAACATTTTCCGTGATGGCTCCCATCCATCACTTGCACCATAGATCAGATTAATTTTCATCATTTATACAAGCTAATCATACCAATCAAATTGAAAGGCCATTCAGGCTTATTCAATCCAAATATTCTCATCATGGGGGCGTCATAGGGTTTCTCGTATTCTTCGAGCTCCTCCTCAGAGGCTTCGGATCCACCAGCCAGGGACAGTCTGTGAGAGTGCATGGACAGTGTCGAAAATTGCTTCTTCAATGGCGGCTTTGGCTTCGGTTTGGTAGCCGTGACCGTTTTTGCTGCAGATGCCGTTGCCTTTGCTGTACGACAAACGCAAGATCCATTTATCACTTGCACTTAAGTAAGGTACGCAGTCACAATTTTCTTTAACTATTTTTAATTCATCGACTCTATCCAACGGATAAATAAGTCTCCTACCTCTTGCAGCTGCACTCGAATCCGCACATACGAGCCCGTAGTAATGCTTGCCCAGGGCTAGAAGTTCCTCATGGGTTCCCATCTCGACAACGACGCCATCCTTTATGAAGACAATCTTATCGGCATTCGTAATGGTAGACAGTCTGTGCGTTACGATAACCGTTGTTCTACCCTTGGATGCTGCATCAAGAGCCCTCTGGACCGTAGCTTCACTATGAAGATCAAGAGCGGAAGTAGCCTCATCTAGGAGAAGAATGGCCGGTCTTCTCACCAGGGCACGAGCAATGGCGATTCTTTGTTTCTGTCCACCAGACAGCTGCGACCCTCGTTCACCCACAGGACTGTCGTACCCCTGAATCAATCAATCAATTGGCTGATTAATCAATCAACAAATTCCACGTAATTCCTCTAACAAGTATTAAGCCTAATATATCCTAAGATTAAATATCCATTAATTTTTCAATGGCGTCATCCAAAAATTGTCATCAACTGCAGACAAGTCCGACTTGTCTTATCCATCTCGCAATTCACTCAAGAGAATCCAATTGACATCACAACCTGGCGAAGATCCCAGACACAGATCCGTTCCAATCAGCTGCCCTTGGAGTCCATTCATCCCTTCCTCCCCTCTGCCCTTCAAGCTTAATAAACCCCCCTTACCCTTGATCCACCTTCACTTTTTATTGACTCTCTTTGATCCTGTCTGATCTTCCAACTTTTTTTTTCTTTTGTCCCCTAGGAAGAGGCCTACCTATTTCTTGTTTCCTAAAATTTCTTATCAGTCATTATCAACCCAAGAGATTCCTATTACCGAGTAAAGAATATAGTCCAGATAGCTTGTTAACGCGCGTCCGATTATGAGAATGTGCTCCTTGCCGCTTCGTGCGTTAGGAATAACGTGCGGCCGTGAATGCGAAGGCTCTATTTATAGGATAAGTTGGAAAATAGTCATTGGACAAGCGTCTGAGAATGCCAGGGACGGATTTCGTCGCGAGTGGTTAGGCTAGCTAGGTAGGTACATTTGCTCAAGAGGTAGATAGGCACCTAACGGGGGCAGCCCACTTTTCTTTAGACAAGGACCACTCGGACTTGACTATAAAGAGGCCATCATGGAAACGATAACTGACTTTCAAATGTGTATCTCCTGGACTTACGATCTATCTTATTGCAAGGGAAGACCCACCTCTGTCAGTTTACTGATAAAGTCATGAGCATTCGCTTCCTTGGCAGCTTTGATCATTTCCTCCTCGGTGACGCTGTCGTTCCCGTACCGTATGTTCTCGCGGATGGTGGTGTCAAAGAGAACAGGTTCCTGACCGACGACACCGATGTAAGAGCGTAGCCACTGGACGTTCAGTTTTGCAATGTCGACGCCATCGAGATGTACCTGTACTCGTGAGAGTGGAGCAGCAATAATCGATCAATGTACGAAGAGTGAGCAAGATAATGAATGGTCGAATGGATGAATGGATGAGTGAATGAACTGACGTCATAGATCGTAAAGGGTTGACTGACCTGTCCCTGAAGGGGATCGTAAAGCCGCTGAATGAGCTGAAGGCAGGTAGACTTTCCGCATCCGGAACCACCCACAAGGGCTACAGTCTCCCCGTGATTGATCTTGAGATTGAGACCCTGAAGGACCTTGACGTCCTTGCGAGCGGGATAAGAGAAGTGCACGTCCTTGAACTCAATGTCCCCGTTGACGGTCTTGAGCTTTAGACCTTCCTTGCTGAGGGAGTCTATAGTGGGTACACGATCAAGGACCTGGAAGATGGCTGCGGCTGATCCTCTAGCCACGGCGAAGGCCTCGAGATGAGGCGAGGTCAGTCCCATGTTCTGAGCACCAGCCAGCACCCCAAAGAAGACTATCACGAGAACGGCTGGAGTGTATTCCTTGTCCAACTTTGGTCTGTCCTCGAGGATGAGCTGAACCCCGTACCAGAAGGCCAAGGCGTAGCTCAGGTAGATGATGAACCACATGACTCCACCGCCGACTCCGGACCACATGCCACGCTTTATACCCGTCCTCTCTGCGGGCACCAGCTTCTGCGCGTACCTCTCGACCTCCTTCTTCTCCCCTCCGAACGCCACCACAGTCCTTATTGCTCCAAGGACTTCCTCGGCGACGCTTCCCGCCTGACCGTAAGCTGACAGCTCGAGTGCTGTCAGCGAACTCTGCACCTTGGCCACTATTGCCGTCGCGATCACGATTATCGGAGCGCAGCTCAGCACCACCAGGGTCAACTTCCACCCGTACACGAATGAGATCACGATCGACGATATGAACGACACCATTAGATACGTGAATATCCCGAGCTTCTCTCCAATTCCGTCCTTCATCTTATCCAGGTCTCTGCGCAAAATAATCGATCCGTTCGATCCTTTTGATCCTAGACGCTCTCTCTCACTCTCTCTCTCTCTCTCTCTCTCTCTCTCTCTCTCTCTCTCTCTCTCTCTCTCTCTCTCTCTCACTCACTCTCTCTCTTTCTCTCATCTCATAGTCAACCTCTATGTACATAATCCCATTAGTTTCCTAATCACCTTACCAGTCTTGGACCTTTACGTTTTTCACACACTACTGAACCTCTACCACAGAACTGATTAGTCCTTGGAAATGTGAGAGAGTCAAGTGATCTGCGAGCAGCTAGAGACAAAGCAGGCTATTCACATAAGACATAGATTAAAGTAAATCAGGTAACTTCACATTCACCAACTTGTTGCATACTCCCGTGACTCGAGTTCCGGTGCTTTCTTTGGCAAAGACAGGGTCGAAAGCACTTTGACATTTTCTTATTAAACACGTGACTCCACGCGACAAGTCGTAACTCTTCGAAGGACGTCAAAGAGGACAAGGCAGAGAGGACAAGGAAAGACAAACGGCAAATGGCATCTTTACTCACTCTGTTATTCGGCTGGCAAAGTTCGTCGAGGTGTTCGTGTCGTACCAGGCCATATCCTGACGTAAAACTGCTTGAAGGAACATTATACGTAATCTAGCAATCTGTCTGAAGGCCGCTATGTTCAGTAGATCCACGGTGAAGATGGCGAAGAAAAACTGAACAGTAGAGAGGGCAGCACAGGAGACGCCAAAGGCGACGGAATCGTCATAAAGTGCATCCATACGTTCTGTACGGTTGCTGTCAGGTCCTCTAAAACATATTAGATAATTCCCTTTTATTTATTTAGCTATCTATTTGACCTATACTGTATTGATATATATATATATATATATATATATATATATATATATATATATATATATATATATATATATATATATATATATATATATATATATATATATATATATATATATATATATATATATTTATTATTCATTTAACAAAATAACCAAGGATTCTACTTACAGGACTCGTCCACCACCAAACCATTCCATAATAATGGTTGGAGTACTCGTTTGATTTTCCATATTACGATCAACCAGCAATGTCGTGAATTCACCGTATTGTATGGTGGAGATTGGAATACAGAGGCCGGTCAAGGTCCCCATGATCAATCCACCAAACAGCAGCATCAGCTCGGAGAACGTCGCAAATCGGAACTAAAATAAATGGCAAGTCAATTAATTAGGGTCCTGTTACTTAATTATTTTAAAACATGTGACAGTCTTGAGTCAGAGTCCATTATTAAGGTCTGTTTGTATGTTCAATTACTATTGTTCTTTATCTCTTCGTCTCACTGTCTGTCTGTCCGTTGAGATGGTCTCGATGACCTTTGAACTCACGAGTTTATAATAAGGCACGGGCGGCAACGAAGGCGCCTGTGGAGCAGGTTTCTCTTCCTCCTTGGTTTGTGGTGGAACAAATTCACTAGGGACAGAAGTACATTAAATGAGTATTAATCAGATAATAGTAATTAATAAATTTAATTTCTATTTATAACCCCAAGTGACCTCAGCCATCTCTCACTTTGCTTTAGTTACTAGATCTAAATCACCTGTCGTAATCTGAATGAAACTAGTTTATCATGAGAATCAGAAGCTGAACAGACGGCTCAGAATGCAATGGGAACCTGTAGGATTAAACCTGCAGGCAAAATTGTTATCCAAAAGTTTATTAAGGCTAGTATAGAATTTCCTATAACGATGCATGACCCATGATCCTTTAGAACTCTCCTTGAAATGTACTCGGTTATACATATAGTGTGTCTTTCCTTGTAAAAATTACAAGGTACGTGAATAATAGAAAATAAAAAAAAATGCAAATGGCTTTTCATCAAACCAATCGGTAATCGAGGATAACAGTCGAACGACAGTAAAGACTGTTCAGTAATGCTTCGAATGTTCACATATGTCTTTCATCTTCTTTCTCTCGACAGAGTTCGATCGTTACTCGTCGTGATCACAATAAAGTTGTATCCAGCAATGATAAAATTCTTTTTTTCTCTCTGTAATAAAGGTATTTCGTACATTGGTTCGCCATTTTCCTGCAGGATGTATTCAGTCTCCTGACTATCCTTCTCCTTGTCTCGTTGATTGTCTGCAATGAAAGACAACGCTACACGTACTCCCTCTGTTTCTCCGCAGCACTTTGTTCTTATATTTTTCTATGTGCAACTCGTGCACTAAACTTTCGTGCTCTTCGACAAGCCGTTCACCAGACCCGGGGTGCCGCTGCTGCCCTCTACCTCCCACATGCCCCACAGCGTCACAGAGGACGAACAAAGACAATAGACGAACAGGAGGAAGAATAAAAAGAGAAGAAAGGAAGACGACCTGGGTCGTCGTAGCTAAGGTAAAGCATTACGTAGACGCATAGCGTCGCGACGCCACAGCAGCAAGGATTCAGGTAACAAAGGTTCCTTTTCTTAACACAGTCCTCCGCAAAGGATACGATTGACCAATTTTAACCAATTTTTTGTTATCATCAGGAAATCATTTTCACAATGGACGTAGGTCAGGATCAGGCAGTGAGGTCAATAGGTTATCTGAAGTAAAAATTGTAGGTTAAAGAAACACATGGAAAGATTTAATCGAAGCGATAGTCAGCTGAGATATCCCTCTTGGATTATAAATAATTGATGTCTAACCAAACCCCATTCCATCCAATGAATCAATCAGTCACCAGTCAACAACCAGATACGTATCATTAAAATCTTAATGATAATTATATGTATCACTAATACTTACACCTCAAGAGGATTTTTTCCGGGGGGTGTGAGTTTGATTTGGGGGGCTCCATTTGTATAGCTTGCGGTGCCTCGTGAGGGCTCGTGGACCACTGGTAAATTCGCTGCGTCATCGCGCATTCTCAGTTAACAACTCTGAAATGGAAGATTAAAAATTCATTTTTTACATGGCCCTTAAGTCCCAGCATCCACTTATGCACTATATCATTATCCCTTACTCCGATGAGACCCTAGTCTCATCGGATGATTCGGATAGAAATAATTATATTGCCACATTTTATTGCATTTAATTATTATAATCCTAATTTTTTTTAACAGTGATAACCACCGTTCCTCATCCTAAGATCATCCTTGTTTTTCTCATTGATATTTTGATTCGGCCTTTGAAGCATGGCTACTGGGCTTGGCTTAGTTAAGCCTAACGGCTCCTACCGAATGCTCAAACGAATTATTTTTAGTCGAGTTTCTGGGTCGCCATTGCCCGCCTTTCCTTGCATATTCCACAGGCGTGCTTCTTCGTACGTCCAGTCGCAAAGTAATATATATATATATTTTTTTTTTTGGCAAACGCGTAAACGCGTCAAACGTTAAGTGAGAATAAAGTGGAAGGAGATTTTAAATTTTATGACCGACTTTACAAACAAGATCACGAGAAAAGCCCTGAGCTTTTAAGGTTCGACATGTCGACCACAGCAAGGATGAGAAAAAAAGGTACAAAGATTTTAAAAGATAAAATAAAAAGGAGATCAAAAAGAAAGAAGCCAGTAGACAAGACTCGAGATGAAGTATCTTAAAAAAAATATTTGGTCCAGCAGGAGGCTGAGATAGAAGTCGATTACCAAGAAATTGAATAATTCTAAAAATCACTGAAAATACCGCGTGGAGATTGAAAAGCAACAAGAGGGACTGCGTGAATGTGCATAAGTGTGCACGCAGGCGTATTTTGACCAGGTTATTTTGGAAACGGCCTTGCGATCCCATCGTAGACGCTAGTCTACTTGAAGATGTCGTCGATGCGTGGGTTGGCTGGATGCTGCCAATAGAAATACGCAGGTCGAGATTATTAGAATGCTTTTTTAAAAAATTGCACAATCCCCTATACGAATTTCGGATACAATTGTTTTTTTTTCAAAAATCAATCAATCCACCAGAAAATAGACGTCTCAAGAAAGAACCGAGGAAACTGCCCCGGCGTCGCGGCGCCAGTACTATCAGTGGCAAATCGCCGAGTCATGTAGGCATACTGTACAATAATTTCACCGGCCGTTTTTTTTTTTTTTCAAAATTAATTTTACTCCGTTCGACCCGAACTCGTCGCATTACGTTTATAACGCGTCCTGGCCATGTCGTGTCTATGTCACGTGACCTTTGACCCACTAAAAAATTGTCCAACCTCACCCAACCACCACCCTTACACACCCTAGCCCACCCTCTGTTCTGTATACCATGATTAAATTCCATTGCCAGTACCCAAGAATCAGCATCCGCCGTTTGACGAGATCACAGATAATTAATGAATAAAATTATGACTGTCTCGGTACAGGGTATATAATTTAAATCCAGCTTTAGAATTCTAATTGATAACGAATAGATAACACATGAAGACACACCAGACCTGTCTAACACAGCGACGAGTAGATCGGTAAGGATTCTCGAAGCTTTTGATTAGGAGTCAGCTGGTAAGTATGATACCAGACAGCCAGTCTACCCAGTCCCCCTAGGGAGGACTGGTTAGTCCCCCCCATCTACCACTACTAACAAATCCAATTATATACCCTTGATATTTAATAAGGTTAGGTTAGGACAAATCTATTGTTGTCATTCTAACGTTCAAATCAATCACGGAGCAATAATCGAATTTATTCGATTTCAATCGAAATCGATTGATCCTATTGATCCTTGGTATCTATCGTACCAATTGGCTGATCGATAGTTGCTCCATTTTCAAATATCTACCTTGCACTACTGTTTCCAATCGATATCCCAGATGTGTCTAATCTCGACGACGGTGGGTTTCGGTGCGTTAGCGGACCCCTTCATAAGTGTCCGTCACACTTCACTTTGAACCCACGACACGCGGCACGGACACTGCCTGCAACGAAGCTGCCTGATGTTGCTCTCACGAGTTTCTCCTCTTGCGAGAATACGTACTCAGATCGGAGAACTTATTACGACTGGGACTGTTAACGATAGGTCGAGAATTTTCGTCGCTTAGATTCTCCGTTGACTTTGATAATGGGTGGCTCGTTGCACCGTCACTCTCCTTTATAGGTCAAAAACCAAGAGGGGATTATTGAGTTTACGCGAAAAGATAAGACGCAACTTTTAATGTGACGACGGTGGATGCGACTGCGGTGCGGCACAGCTTTGATGCCAAGTGGGGATGATCTCTACGGTCCAAGATGGTTCAAAGTGACCTTGCGTGATGGGCCAACGTTTCATTAAGAGAGAAGATAGTGGTGGGGGCAAGGGGTGAAGAAGTTAGGGGGGGGGGATCAATTGATTATCAAATTTCCGAAGGATTTGAAAAATTCTTTGATTTTATCGAACTTAGTAGTATTCTTGTCGAAAATTGTTTTCTACTTTTTGGATACCTTCTAGGGATATTTGAGTAAAAAAATTTTTTTTCACAGGATTTGTAGATATACTGATTAAGCGGTTAGTTCAAATTGGTATGTTACCTTGAAAGATAACGTGGGAAATTTTGTATATGAATACATTTTTTTGGGAAATTTTTTATTGCTATCGTCACATTTACCGCCAGCCAGTGCTTCCACCGTCACTGCCGCTGTTGCTGTCGCCGTCGCCGTCGCCATTGTTAACCTGATGAACGACGACTGAATTTCATAGTCATTTTTTGGACTAATTTTTAAAAATAAAATTCTCATTTTTTTAAGGAGAACGTGCTAAGTGAAAAAAAAAACGACAAGGCACGCAGAGCTCGCTCCGTCACGTGGACGCCGTGATCTCTTGCGATGGTCGTTATCATTGCCGTCGGCGTCGGCGTCGGTTTCGAGCATCGGCATCACATCAGAAAGTGATGATCAGCGATCAAAACTGGACGTACTTTTGGATATTCGCTCGCGTACCGTAGGGCTTTGCGGCACTCGACAAACTGACGCCGCGACGACCCGACGTCCAGACTCTTACGCAACGACGCCTCCCCCTACCCCTGACGTCGTACGACTCCCGCGAGGAGGTGGACCCATCCCCAAGATCCGCATCCGGTAGGAACCGGTATGATCCAGGACGCCCAGTCGGGGTTACGAATAATGACGAAAGCGACGCGTCGCGTCAGCCAGTCGGGACGCCCTCGAGCATCCCGACGCGTCGCGTCAGGTGAGTCAATACGCATGAAAATCTGACGAGATAGTCTAACCTTACAGTTATAAAACTCGAAGATCAAAAAAATCATCGTGGCTCTATATTTGATCATAACCTCTTAAGAGATAGATAACCGACGCCGGGCGTCGCGACCGTCCTCGTGTATCTATGACTACGTTTACACGAGGGTCTCAAACCGGTTTAATTGATACTGATCTAAAGGAATTGACCAATTCCAATGTATTCCTTACGAGTAAAAATACCTATGATTTGTCTATTCTTTTAGATCATTATTAACTGAACCGGTTTAAGATCATGTAAACGTAGTCTATATCAAGGATACTTTTCCTCCAAAAAAGCTTCATATGCGGCATAATGCGAATAAATGTCACCATGCCAAAGCGCAGGCTTGGCTCAAGGAATACAGACTAAAATTCTTTAACGAGGCTCTTGCAGATAAGAGATCAAAGATAAATAAACTATTGATCCTGTATCAGTTCGTTTAAAAAATCAACAACTTCACAGAAGGATGAATTAAGAATTTTATCATAAAAATAACATCTCTCTCGATCTCATTAAGCGTATTTGCTGTCTGTGTCATACCCATGTGATCGGACTTGATTAAAGAGACACACGCGGCGTCTTAAAGCGTCCCGACGGTCTCGAAGAGACGAGAGACCGCACGATACACTGATTACACGAAAGATGCTGCAACCTTCGTCCAACTGTAGCCAGAACCGTTGAAAACATCTCAATGCAGCTCGATGCGGCTCTACCGAATGCATATTGTCATGAAAATAGGCCGCGCATGCGCGTTAACGACTGAGCTCGTGACACGGTAACCCATTTGAACGTGAGAATGAAAAAATAAAAAATTAAAAAAAATATTATTCCTAAGTGTACAAACCCACGTGCACCAACTATCCAATCAAGCGATTAAAATGATTAATTGACTCTCCACTGAAAGGCCATCAATGTCTACCAATAATTTCTATTATGGAGTCTACGCTAATGGCTAGAGCGACGGCCACGCCACTGGCGTCGTTTGGGCGTTCGCTGGGGCAATACCGGCGCCAGTGACGATTATTCACAGTGTGTCTAGCAAACGCATTTCGTCGCCCTCTATTGTACATTCACGTTGTCCAAATGTTTCTCGTCTTTCGGCAAACGGACGCCGTATTTAAATTGATCCTGTAACGGTATTTCCTCGTGCAATAATAAGGTAAGACCGTGCTGCAAAGAGCTTTCTGTAAATAGTCGTTGCTGAGTCTATTCTTAGGATCAACGTGGTCGCCGTAATCGTCCCCTCCTCTTTTTCTCCTACGTAAACCCCGAGCAACCCCCTCGTCCCTCGTCCGTTCGCGCTTCCAGAATGGCGACGTTCTCAAACTTTTTCTGCTCATCGACGTCTGGCGTCGACCGTGTACACGGCGTTCGAGTTAACCTCTGTTGGAAGACGTTCTCAAAGAAGGCAAAGGAGAATACACACAGAAAAATAAAAACGAGACAAAAAGCAAATTTATACGCTCGACTCGGTTCACTCGAGGAGCAATGCGTGCGATTGAGAAAACTTTCCACGTACACGTGGACTATGGATTATGACGCAAGGAAACGAAGAGATTCGTTAAAGAAGCACTCCTATTTATTTGACGTACGTTTCATGTATTTTCGTGGATTACTATTTTTAACGCGACATAACGGCGTCCCGTTCGCGTCACTCTGGCTATTCCGTCCGCCATGCTTGCTGCCGACGCCATATGTCTCGCGCTGTCAAATTCTCTGAAACCTCGTATATCAGGACGCTCAAGGAAATGTACCTCGTGATCGTGAAGATGATCTTCGATACCACTGGCGAAGGAGTAACCTAGAGATTTAATGGAGGAAGAAAATTTCACGGAGGCTCAGCGAAGATACATGACAGGTATATCAGTGTCAAGTAAGAATTTGCACAGTAGGTTGTTTAATCTGTGACGTAGACGTATTGGCGAATCTAATACGTGTCCCAGGAGTTCGATCATACTTCCTAAATACGTGACAAGACTCTTGAGTCAGTAAGGTAGAACGAGCGGTTGATAGCATCCTCAATTTTTATTTCAAGAATCACTTTCAGCCTGAAGTATTCGCTGGATATAGATATACCCGAAATTTTTACTTTATAGGTTATGTTACGTGCCACCAGCACGTGATTACGTAACGGCCTGACAATAGAATTACATAGATGCCAGACGTCGCGATCTGATGACGACGAAGAGACGGAAATATATAGATATTTTGATAATTTAATACGATTCGATATTTCTTCGATTGTGCAACGAATGATCGGAGGACCGCGATCACGACTTCCGCGTGTCCAAGCGATGCCAACTGACGCTAATAGAACATTCTGTATATGTACGTACGTATCAATAGACATCATACAAAGAGCAGGATGCTTAACCTCATATATTAATGTAGAAGACCAACGTGTATCTTCCATATATAGATGAACGTTGATGCACTCCATGAAATCATGACACCAGGATCATGTGCATTCGATTGACTTCAATTAATTGCCGAAGAGAATCACAGTACAGAGGACAATTGTAGTGTCATGATTGCGGTCAATATCTTTTGACATCACTTGAAATATGATGGTCGATAACTCTTTAACGTACATATGAATTATCGAAGCAACGACTGCAACGGTTCCTTTTTGGTGCTAATCGTGAATAACGATTCTCGATAAGCGATTATCGATTGATCGATAACAATTCAAATATATACAATTGATGTTAAAGTACAATCGTCACAGTTATCATTACGTGGAAGATAACTAAAAAACAGTATAGTCATAAGCAATCAGTGTCAGGATTTGGAAACCGTGCTAAATGCGAGTAAATCCAAGTGAGGTCATCCTTCTTCCGCTATTCGAGGGAACATTAGGTAAATTGCTGGTGTAACCGGAAAAATGGAGGGCAAATAAACTGACTAAAGCGAAAGGAGAGAGACGAGCGTGGAGCCAGAAGGGCTATAAGTGTAATGTATAGCTATATATATATTTTTTATTCGTGTTATACATTATATTATACGCGTAGCGAACAACGGCTATTTCTGACAGTACGAATCTCGAACTAGCAGTTTAGTTTCACGATAAGCAGGCAAATGCTGATGCAGCGAAGATAGTTTTCCCGTTCGATCTATACTCAGTCATGTTTTTTATTCGTATGTCTGATTCTCAGTATATATATGCGTGTATACCAGTATATATGTATATATATTTCCTTACACGATAATAAGCCGTTTTCAAAACTATCGTTGGAAAAGGGAATAAGAAGGAATTCGATCGCGAATGTTGTTGCCTTTCTGAATTTTAATCTCAATGTCGGGTATAATTTTCTTAATGGTTACGGAACTTGAGCGAAAGTTCACATATCGATGCAAAACGTTATGTCGAAAGTCGGAAGGCAAGTCCCGATTGATGCAAAGGTTCGGTGGAAATTTCCATGGGGCCTCGGGTAATCTCGGAAGGACTCGGCGATATTCGGACGGCTCGTCAAACTACCCATTCGCCATTTACCAATCGCTACATTAACTGCAATCCAACCGTTGAATTGGTGGTGTGGCAACCGCGCTCGGGGAATCGCAACTAACAAACGATTCGCCGTGATACGTCGGTGCCTCCACGAGTTCGATGAATGAATGTATGAAAAGAGGTAATGAAAAAGCTAATCGTCAGAATCGACCTATTGGCCCGTCGCGATGGTAAACAATTGCGATACGAGAGCGCGAATCTGACATTGAGTCGTGAACGCGCAGTGTTGCAAGGAATAAAAATGTAAGTGATAGAGTATTCCCATAGTCTTAAAACGAATGGGGCGTATAAAAGATAAATAAATATTGAAAGAAAAGCATAAACAAACAGATGCAAAGGTAATATTATTAATAACTGTCACTCACCATTTCGTAGAAATACTGCCTTTACGGCAAATGTCTTCGTGAATATTACTCAATGTGATTATTAGTATACTTCCCGCATGGGGAAGCGGTTAATTAATAACTTCAATCTTGCCAATTTGTTTAATTCCCTTTTCGGATACTAGAAAATATCACTTTTTATTCCCTTTGGCTTTCTATCACTCCCAAGTGATTTGGCGTCCTCGAGATTACTCGTATAAACTCTCTACCTAAAACTGATGATGTCGGTCGATTGATAATAGTATTGATTATCAAAGAAACAAGAGCAACGTGTGAATGTATACAAGGAATCAATAGATTTATTATGATTGAAACGAACCTTGGTAAATAAAATAAAAAATTCACTCTCCCACTATCACTTGAGATATAATAAAATAGATTAGTGTTTTCTGACAGTCCACTTTTTCTTTTTCCCCCTCTCTCTCTCTCTCTTTCTCTCTTTCTCTCCGTAGTTCAATCGATGGATTAAATCAGAAGATCGAACACCAAATCGATCCCTCTATTTATAATACTCCAACAAGATTCAATTCGAACGACCGTCTATAAGTGTTCTCGTATATTGATCATTTTGTTGTTCGTATTTCCAATAAACCGCCTCTGCTTCACCATATGACCTCCTGCCAATCTAACCTGTTGATAGAAGCAAGATACAATTCATCAGTTAGTCAGTGTTAGCAGGTTTACACGAAGCATTAAAACTGACACGTTTGTCAAGGACAATAAAACAAATGTTACTTAAAACAAGAACAAAGACAATTCATAAAATTTCACTCCATGGCTCGTGTCTCGCAGTGGATGCTTTTCAGATAGCAAACTGTCTAGAAATTGAACAGCAACGCCTTAGCAACCCCCAAGAAAGCTTATCATCAGAATGACGACAAGATGAGTCCCGGCATTGGCCTGTTATATTTCTCCCACGCCGAAGCGACACGTAACTACAGTAACAAAGTGGCAAACAGCAAAAAAGTATAGCGGACCAACGAAGGAACAGCAGTTGCTCATTTTTTCTCGGCAACGAATCAGAAACGTGCTCTTAACATTTTGCTTAGCAACTAGCGTTTTTACATATTGAATGCTACGTTTTTTTGACGATACAACAGAACCGTTCGCAGGTCGTAGAAAAATATGTATGAAATTGCATTTAAAAAATTTACTGTCGTATTCGTTTTTCTTCGAGCACATTTTGCTGGCCGAGTAGTCATCCAAGTCTCAACTCTTCACAGCCGGTTCAGTCAACACAAATAAGCTGAGTATAAAATTCCATTTGATTGAACTTAATTCGCTGGACAAGCGTTTAATTTAAGTGATAATGAGAACGTGCCAGTGAGTGAATCGCATAATACATAACGTATAAGCGACGCAACCTCATTGTCAAGCAGAGTTTAGTGAGGTCAAGTCATCACTGACAAAGAAGACACTAGATGCATTGTTAATGAGTTGACTTATGGCATTGTCGTTTTTACTATTAAACATATAGGTGATTAAGATTTAATTATTAATTTTAATTGTTATATACTGACACTCATCGGGTACAGTCTTGCTGTGACTGCCACTGTTATTGTTACTTTTATTGTCACTGTAGCCGCCACTGTAACTGCAACTGTCGTTACAACTGCAACTGGTACTTCCTTGCGAGATTTGTCTCCAAGAAAATATTTTCAAAAGATTTTTTCCTGGGCTTTTAGCCCTCCACTGTTAGACCCATTTATAAGCCGCAAGATGATCACGAGTGCAGAACTATGTATACCTGAAACAATAGCAGTTGTGAAGATTCAAAAAGAAATTATCTTTCAAACGACAGCAACAATTGTTGACTATATCTTTCTAATGATTTTACATCACAATAAGCACAAGGGACAAGTGTGACATTAATTTATGCACGAGAAACACTGTAGCGTCTCATTAAAAAAGCCAAACGATCTTCTAGACGACCTTCTGCTCTCACGTTGTTATGTCACCATTGCCAATTCTGGGAGCCTCTAGACACAACGGCTTTACTGTAAATACCGTTCCTAAAGTAGACGTTACAAAATTCGTGCTTATTATTAGCCTAGGTAGAAATGAGATAAGTAAAAAATCGGTCACGTTGTCTTGGATTAATTTTAACTGATTTATTCTGTTACTGTCTTATCATCGATAAGTCAAACTAAATTTGCCATTAATCCGTGACATTAAGTCTCGCACTGGTAAATTAACATTTTTTTCACTTACCATTAACCACAGACCAGTTTAGTTCTCTTACGAAAAAGCATAGACTTTCTTGCTACTTCTCTCTCTCTCTCTCTCTCTCTCTTTTTCTTTTGCATAACGTTATAATCAACGGAATAGCTCTGCACATTTTCTAGGACGTAAATTCAATCAAGAGAAAATTATTTGAACAAGGCAAGATCCGTGAGTAATGTTTAAGTGAGAAAGACAGTCCGTGTTAAAGGATCAAGGGAAAGAGAAGAGGCAAAAAATGCAAGGTCTTACGAATTGCATGGAAGCCATGACGTCACCAGTGTCCGAACACGATACGCCGATAATAATGGCCGATATGACCAAACGCGATTGTCTCCTAGTTACTAGTCGAAGCAACTATCAGTAACTACCCTATGCGACTTGAGTAAATTTGTTTTCCCGTTGCTACTTGGATATATCGTCCTGGCTAAGCGACTTATGGTTGATTAAGTTGCGCTCAGGACTCGATATCGAAATCCTGACCGTTTCTCTAGAAACATTCATTTCACGGCTTGCTTGATATTTTCACAATAAAATTAACGTACGATGAGGATAATTGAAAGCTACTGCTCCGATTTTAATACAAATATAGAATAAAGTTACGAAACTATCACGGAAAGTGAAACAATTTCGAAGAATCGCTCTGCGACTCGTTCACGTCTGTTCGTCCGTATGACTCGGCTTAACTCGGACGCATTCGGCTCCTCTCGTCTCATCTCAAACCTCAGTCTTGCAAGCCAAGTCTTGGCTGTCCTAAGAACTTTCTGGAAATAAGACTGACTATCCGAGAGCATGCTTGTCAATCTGTTTAATCGAGGCAGAATCAAGAACAAGTCCAATGAAATCGGACAAGTACAAATGACACGTGTGCACAGTTAGCAATAAATATCGTTACGATTACAGTTATAAAATCAGCAATTAAAGTTAATCCAAAGACATACAATCAGCTTAGGCAGTGTATCAACACTGCAAGCTTATTATTCCTTTACCTTCCACGTTCTAAACGAATAAAACGATCAAAACGTTTTACAACGATGTTCACGCCAGTCCCAGTACACGGCTACAAATCAGCTGATCCTACTTCCGAAGAAACAATCAAACTTTCAAGATCCTTGGTATCTCACAGTCCTGATGTCTCTTATCAGCCCTTACTGTCCCCTTGTCGTGATCATTGAACGTGCTCGCGGTTGTTCTCTCGCAATATTTTCACCCACTAGATACCGCTCAGGCAGAAGGCCGTTTTACACTGGCCCTCCTTCCCGCTGGAGGCTCTATGTATACCGTCCTGCTAGACAGCAATGGCGTGTGCGTGCACGTATGGTGGGAGTAGGCCAAGTTACACTGATAAAACTTCCCAGTAACAACTATACCAACTAGACCTCGTGTAGCCTCGTGTACCTTTTTTTTTGCAACGGTCTTTTTTTAAAGATGAATTTCCTCTCGTCGCTCGCACTCGTTTTCAGCAAATTACTCATACATCACCACAGGAAGCTGGCATCCTCATCCTTCTCGCGGTTTCGTTTATAACTATGGTTACCATATAATACATATGTTTGGTTTACTGATGTCTTTGCTTTAGTAAAGTAGCAAACCTATGTATGCTGCCTATACCGCACTTACGCGGAATTATGCTATGCCCCGTTTACGTAAGCAGTTCCCTTTCGCCAGGAGGCACACGATATCCTATGTCAGACGCTGTAACGCATTGAAGATAAGTTATCGCTATAAGTCTGTTATATAAAATTGTATGTCTAATGAATTAGGATTTCAATTTCTTATATTTATGTACGTACCCGTGTGAATAGCAGGTGTAAGATAAGACGTGGAACTTACATGTATACCTAGAACATTCGAATTTTCGTTGTGCACATTTTTCCCGCATACCTCGTGTCGTCTTACGCTCGTTAAAATTTTGTTGGTCTCTCTCGGGATTATCGAATTCAAATTATCAAAGATTAAAAGTGTCACGTATAATCTATATATTTAAAAGATATCTAATCAATTGCTATACTGCTTTCTTTTTGCCTTATTTAAAGAGTTCGAATTATCAAAGATTAAAAGTGTCAAATATAATCTATTTAAAAGATATCTAAAGAGTTGCTATGCTGCTTTCTTTTCGCCTTATTTAAAGAGTTCTCAGAATTCGTCTGAACAACTTTTATCGATCCGATGCTGTCTCGCTGAATATCGACCGAATCTAATGACAGGAAAGTCCTTCCCATACGAGGGAAAAAATCAATAATCTTACTTCGTCTGTTATATGTCTGTATGAGACGCCATACCTATTACTATAAGACAGATTGCTTCTAAGTAACCTAACCTTAATGCATCTAAACATTCCATTGTGACACATAACTTCCAAATATAAGGGTCCCAGAACTCTAACCTAGACAGGAGTCACTCATGTTACCGAAAACATCACGTTATGAATTACACACAGCAATTAATCATTTCGACCTCATACTAATTCCATTTGCCGAAAGAATTTTCCACGAGAAGATTAAAAATAACGTCAAGCTCACAGAAATTCTGAACGGTCAGAAAATTTAAACCGTATGGAACAGGTGTTAACATGTGAATTTGTTCGAACGATTAAATCCCTTTAAAGAAATCTCTAACGATATATACATATATTGCGCAATAATACCGGTGTACCCATCGCGTCCGTATCTCTCATGAATAGCGTACGGGGTTGCCTATCAACAGGCGAACTCTATTCACTCCATACACTTTTGTTTCTCAGAACAATATCAGTAAAATGAAATAGCAGAGACTAATTAACAGTGACTAATTAATTGTCCCGTTAAGAGTTCAGCCTATTTATTTAACGATACTTGCATTCACGTCTATAGAATATAATACAAGTCGTAATCGTTAAGTATTACGTTAAATGACCTCTAGACTAATTTCCAGGGTTCTGATAAGGATGATTTTGAAAAAGAGCTAACGATAGCTGATACGGTCAGAATACTTGAGTCAAGTTATATTATACATATCTTGCATGACAAAGATATCATTGATGAGCTTAGAAAATATGCCAGTTTTGGAGCCAATCTCCAAGAGAAATATGTATATACATACATCTTTTTTTTTCTATAAGCAAGAATGATAGGGTCTACTCATCTTGAAACGCAGCCTTGGTGCACTTTAACGTGACTTTGACTGTGGCCAAACTTTTGACATAAAATAAAAGAATGTAAAATTCATGATAAAAGCAACGTTGCAACGTTAACTTTCATTTCTTTAATGATGCCACCTGGCCCTGATTCATCAAATCACTAATTCACGGCTAATTTCAGCTCGTGCGTTTGCCGTGTATAACACTGTATAGTATAATGTGTTATGGGCATCATTACCTTTTGTGGTTACCTAGATACCATACGCGTGCCACCATGCTGAAAATACGTGTTTGGTCTGCTAGTATACTGGTTCAAAGTGGTTCAAGTTGCTGTATACCGGATCGGCGAGGGATCTTCTCTTTCTGTCTCTCTCTTTCTCATTGCTATTTCCTCTCTATCCACTTATTTAGTTACTCAGGTGTGATGACCATCAAACTTGGGCTTCGTTCGATAGTCGTTTGGTAAATGTCTAATGACTCTTTACTATTGCTTCTTAGTTAAGAAATAGAGAGAACGGGAGAAAAGTCTCACATGATGGATAGAATAAAATTTGATAATAGCGTATTTTGCTCTTTTTCGTTTGTATCATATAAAGTGCTATTTTTTAAATGTTACCAAAAGCAAAATTGGTATGAGGAACGATGCTGAGAGTGTAGAATTAACTCAGTTAAAACGTTTCCATGGCTATGTGGTCTTCGCTGTTGAAAGCCTCGTTGTTGAAAACTGAATTGCCTTTTCGTGGAGAGTTGTTTTTGGAATTCTTAGAAGTACCACTGCTCCCTTTGGTATCCTCGTCATCTTGCAAGGGCTGCGAGAAATTAACCAGCACCTATTGATGGAAAGTCAAGATCATCAATCATCTGCAGTTTCAGTGTAAGACAAATGGCTTTCTTTGTTCTTTTTGGGTTTCCTCTGGGATGATCTGACCTAACCTAACCTAACATTGTGTATCATGATATTCTTGAAATGCGATAGAACCACTGTTTCTGATCTGTTGAGGCATTTTATCTGAACTTTAAATATATTAATAGCTTAACCTAACTTACCTGATCTAATGAGGATTGATTGAGCGTATAATCACTAGCACCTAGTTCCTCAGCTATCCTCTTAACTTTTTCAAATATTTCACTTATTTTCAAATCTCCCTCCATTCCTCCAATTTGTTCATCTCTGTACGGAATAAGGAGACGCGCTGTTCGTATCTGCCTCGAAGAGATTATAGCCTCAGGAAGATGCCTGGCAATGGCGCGTTTTAATTCGACAAGACCTCCATACTCCGTGGCCACTCTGAAGAATGCGACGTAACCCTTTCCATATCTGGAATAATTAATTAAAAGATCAATTGATCATTTTGACAGCTCAAGGATCTAAGCTACGTTTATAAGTGTTAATACAATATCAATTACTTGTGTTTAAGACCCTCTGGTGATCCTATACATCTGATCCGACCGTTTCCAAGGACCCCTACTCTCGTGCAAATATTTTCACACTCAGCGACGCTGTGTGATGTCAGAAGAACACAACCACGATTATCGACAACACGTCGGACAGCCCTAGCAACTAGTTCCTTCGAAGCTGGATCCATGCCGCTAAAAACAGAATCAGGTCGAGCGAAGGTAAAAGAAACGCTCTTGCTTCTCGTGACGAAGATCGACAGGGAAGAATCGAGTACCTGCTTGGTTCGTCCATAAGAACAATGGAGACCCCAGGTGACATGACACTTCTTGCGACGCAGAGCTTCCTTCTATTTCCTCCGCTTAATCTGTCAACCCTCTGGCGGGCATACTTTGTCAAATCAAATCTTTCTAAGGTTGACTCGACTACCTGTGAAGAATAAAATTATTATTGAATCGCATAAATAAGCCCATATTATTATCACTGCCCTTGTTATTCTGTCTGATAATAATTCTCACCGTGTTAACGTTGCGCAAACCACAAAGACGAGCATGGATAGAGAGAATTTCACGAGGTGTGAGGAAGCCGTCGAGGGCATCGTCCTGCGGACAGTATCCAATCCTACCGGAAGAATCAGGTCGTCTACCGACTTCCTTGCCAGCGACGAAGATCCTCCCATCCGTCGGCTCGATTTCCCCAGTTAACATCTTGAACGTGGTACTCTTACCGACGCCATTAACGCCCAGGAGACCAAAACACTCTCCGGGCTGTACGCCAAAACTAAGATCCTGAACGGCCACCTTTTTCCCGGAGTCTACAGATTGGTACTCCTTTCGGAGATTGAGTACGCGTAAGAGGTCGTGGCTTTCTCTTGACCATTCGACCCTTCTCCTCTCTATTAGGACGTCTTCATCCTCGTTGACATTGTCAATCTGATCCTGGTCAGAATTTTTATTGCATTTTCCTATACGGTACAAGTATCCCGGGAACCCAGGAACAAGACGGCACTCAATGGCCAGATTCAACAGGTAGAAGATGGCTCCCACTACCAAGAAGACGACGTAGTGCAGTCCAAGAAGTTCCCATCCAAGAGGAGACACGTAAGTGTCCATATGGAATCTCTCTAAGAGTTCTGCCGTGATGTCATTCTTGGCCATACGAACCAAGCTATCACCGAGTGCATACTGCGGAAGTATCAGGAATATCTTGTGAAGAATTTCCCGGATATCCTCAGCTGTCTTACTGTTTCCAAGGATGTCGATGATGAGGATCGTTGCCAAAGCAGCCACTCCTATGAAGGTGTTCACGCAAAAGAGAATCATGTTGACGACGCTTGCGTCGTCGAAGATCTTTTCCATGAAATGCGTCAATGGTATCACTGCCCACCTGTTGTCAATGTTATATTTAAGCAGCAATTTTTAACGACGATGATGCATATACAAGTTCAGATTCAACTTACGCAAATAGTATCAAAACAAGGCAAATGGCTGGCAGGTTATCCCTGGCAACGTACGTTGAGAGACCAAATATCTGAAAGACTATCACTGCTAGACAAATCGAGCAGCCAAAGACCTGAAACCTCCTTTATATTAATACCTTATCTATTTGTTATATTCCATCTATTTTCTAGTAGGCATATAGCTCATGAGACATAGTCAAGACACAATCAAGTATTACTAACGAAAAAGTCCCAAAGGAAGGCTGTGCTCCAGTAGGTAAAGGGATGAACGCCGGCTAGGTAGAGAATGCGTTTCTCCTCAGTGAGTCTCTCGCGGACGAGTTCTCTAGCACCTTGAGCACCGACCAGACTGAAAGCTATCAATAGTACCAGAGCTACGCCGACGTCTGCCACGTGCTGTATTCTGTAATGAAGATTTTTCATTATTAATTGCACGATGGCGCCGATGAGATGATCTGGATCTAATAATCGAAGCTTAACATTCATTACTTACAAACTTGTTCTGTTGAGCTGATCCCGAGAGAGTTTGAGGGGATGATTGATGGTTGTAATATGACCAGGAATACCGGATGCACGAAGGATAGCCTCATTTAGAGCACTTAAGTACGCTGGCAGGGAGTGATGACCCTTGTTGTTGTACCAGACGGTAAAGAGTGGGCTGCCATTTTTCGTATCTCCTAGAGACCATCCTCCATATCTAAAGTAGAAAGGAACAAGTAAAAGAGTGTAAAAACCCGAAGAGGGTATTCATTGTTGCCACAGAGCATCGCATCTTGAAATCATGTGTAAGTGAGTATACTAAGGTCCAACCTTTTTTCTATGTACTGCTGGTGCGTGGATATTATCCAGTGAAGGGTCGGTTGACCTGGAGGCGTCTCCACAAGGCCTTCTTTGGACTGAGTGATTGAATGGCATTGTTGCTCACCATCGACACACTGGCACGACCCTGTGTCCTGCATTAGAAAAAAAAGTTTGATCGATAAGATCAAAAACAAGTATCGCTCTTGGTTGATTGAATTGAGTGGCAGAAGATTGTCTTACGTTAAGTGACATTTGCCACGTTGCCACGCCTCTGGACGTCGCGAAGCGATCACGTAATTCCTGTGAGACGCTCTTCAGGAAATTATAATTCATAACGTTATTATCAATGCTGTAGAAGTGGATTGGGGCGTGCGAATTGGTCTCGTAGAGGTTTGGGCTGAGAAGGAGGGGTGGCTCGTCGGCGGAGGGTGGCCTGATTAGCGAGAACCCCATCGCCACCGCGACGAAGAGCATCGGCAGAAGAAGAGCCGCCAACGGGGCTCTCCAATCCCTAGCAAAGTGCCAGAGGCGCTTTTGCAGAAGTGCTTTTGCTTGGGAAAATCCTGCGAAGCCACCTAAATTACTTCGTTCTTCGGTGCCGATCAGGTCGAGACGTTCCGTCGTCGCTGACATCCCCAGGGACACGGTGGTCGTCGATGCTGAGAGACCTCAAATAAATTAACATTTATAAGTAACAAAAATAACTGACCAGAATAAAGTTTATTTAAGCCACAGCTATCTCTTACTTCTGGTCGCTGGGTCTCTACCTATTGAAGGCGCACTGGAGATACTCGCGCGGCTCGCAAGCCTGTCTCGTCCACCACGTCCTTGCCATGCTGACTCCTTGTGTTCGGTGTCTCCACACAACTCCAGAAAGACGCTCTCTAGGTCGTCGCATTCCAAGGAAAAGTGAGAAAAGTTAAGGCTGTGTCGATTCTCCTCTAGAAGTCTGGCAACCCCCGCGATGCTATGAACAACGGGAAATCAATGGTGGTTAGTCAATGCGAGGAAGCGCCAACAAGTGTTATCACTCTGATTGCTTATCACCTACTCATTAGACGCGCCATGTGGTCCATTGAACGGTAAAGTAACGCTGAGATGAGAACCGGAATTCTCGTTAAGTGTAACATTTGGCACGACACTTGCCAACAAGCTGATCAAGGTCTCCAAACGTTTTTCCCCGAGCGACGTCGTCGTTAAGGACTGTGCTGTTGCTCCTGGTATTTCAGATAATGAAGCTGTTGACCTTTGCGAAGATCCTGTGTCGTGGGGATGCGCAAAAAGTATATGGAGCTTATATCCTTTTCCGTAGCTCGTCTTTAGGCTAAGCGGTGAACCCACCCAGAGGATCCTGGCCTTGTGCATAAGCACTACGGTATCACTGAGCATATCTGCCTCATCTAGATGATGGGTCGATAGTAAAACAGTGCGTCCTTGTCTATGCTTATCTATGAGACGCCAGATACGTCGTCTTGCAGCAGGATCGACGCCGGCACCAGGTTCGTCAAGGATTACAAACTTTGGGGAAGCTAAGAATGCCAGAGCGACACAGAGGCGTCTTCGTGTACCACCGGATAGTCGAGATACTATCTCATCTTCTTGTTCACCAAGCTCCAAAGACTCCAGCATCCTTTATAAAATTTATTCCATACGACCTGTCAACTTCCTTTCAACACCTTGTGTCAGTCTACTTACGTGTTAACGTGGACTAATAATTCTTTATCCTGTGCATCTGGTTTTTTTAGTTTCGCATAAAAAAGCATGTGCTCCCTTGCCGTTAGACAGTCTACAAGAACATTGTCCTGAGGACAGACACCAATCTCTGGTTTGGTACCATTGCTGCTGCCTAATCGAATCTCCCCGTTACTTGGTGCAAGCATCCCGGTAAGCATCTTGCTGCGAAAATCACGTAGAACTCATATGTTTCTCTGATTCGTTGTTCTGTTGATTTATTTCTTTGTTAATTTGTCTACCTACATTATCGTGGTCTTTCCGGCTCCGTTACGTCCAAGCAATGCGGTGACCTCGTCCTCGTGGAGTTTCAGGTTCAAATCCTCCACGGCTACCAATTCTCGCCCATCTTCAAGTCGGTAAACTTTTCGAACTCCTTCGAAACTCACGCCGATCTGTTTCTCGTTGATTATTACGCTGCTAGTATTGTTTTCAGATTCTAATAATAATAATAATGAAAGAATATAATAATTAAAATGTGCAACGATACAGCTTATGCACTTCAAAGTTGCAATGACTAATTAAGAAGACAAATAGAAGAAAACAAAGCATGAAAATTAGCTTATTTCTAACCCAGCTTGATTATGTTAATCATATAACGTGAAACTATATTATTCTTATGCGTTAGATGAAATTATGTTAATTATATTAATTAGTGACAAATGATTGAAGGTGATACGTGCTAATGATACCTTGATGAGTGCTCGAAGGTTGTGCTACTTCGTTAGTCAGGTAGTAGTCATTGATAAGTTCTGTGTAATCAGAACGAATGTACGTGTCGCAGGTGAGTGGCCTATAGCGTGATTCAAGGGTAAATAATTCCTTTACAATATAGCCTGAAATGTTTCATAATTCCTGAAGATGTTTTTCAACTTTCTATTGTCATATTTTAGTATAATTTTATGAACGACTAGAAAGTTTTAGTTCGAGTCAATCCAATTTATTTGACTGCAATTAAATAGCCCCGTCTGACCCGACGTTAAGTATAACTTACCCGAATTCGTGTACCTGGAGATGAAGTAGCCAATCGATGTATACAGACAGCCGTCGAAAATCAGCATCAGTAGGACTAAACCTAAGGACATGGAATCTTCAGGGCTTGATTCCTCCCAAAGGATTCCCCAGGTTAGGCCAGTTCCTTGGACTTCTCTACGTACTGCATACAAGCATCCATAGGAGAAGCTTGTTGACATGCTTAGACACTGTTAATGATAAGTTATATTTTTTATCTCGATCTTTATCCTTCTTTAATGTTGCGTCATTTGGTAAAATTAATTTCAGTCGATCTACCATAAAAATCTTGTATCCCAGCTGCATGTTGGCTTCCATAGCTATTACAACGACGTAAGGCATATACGTCAGGAGGAAAGTGACAACTCCGGTGACAGCAGCTAAACTTGCAGAGCTGAACATTCTTGAGATCATGTAGCTGGAAGAAGGAGTTGTGAGTGAGTCAAAATGAAGTAAAATTAATTGGAGCACTTTTCGTATTTTTCGGTATACTCAGAAAGAGGATACTCTATTGCTCTCACCAGAAACTCACGACGGAGAAGATGTAGGTGAACAGTAGAAACAATAATAGTGACGGGTCTGAACGTGGAAGAATTTTGCCAAAAGTGAGTATTGTGCATATGGACACCATTACAATGACCAATTCTATGAAGGTCGTCAGGTACCAAGCAAGAGTGCTTTTCCAAGGCTTCAAGCCCATGACGTTCATTACCTAAAAGTGTATAATCCGTAATTTGTAAATTTTAATTGAAAGAATACGCAATTTTTGATATTTTGATATTATAATTTTTTTTTCTTATTACACCTACCATCGCATTTTGGGACTCTCTTTCCCAGACGATGTGTCTAATAGCCGCCCCGACGCACATCATCAGTGCGAAGAAAAAGCACGTTTGAATTCCCTGAGATTCATAAAGCGTCGACTGAAAACTGTATAAGGGATTAATAATTTATAGTTTTTTAAAATTAGTATAGTTCCGGATTATCAATAGGTTCTTGTATATCTCCAAGTTAAAAGACTCACGGCGCATATTTCCAACACGGATAAGGCATCTGACGAGTGAGCGTTGTCCAATCTTGCGTTGATGGATCAATATCTGTTTGTCTTCGTATCTTTGATCTTATGATTGCCCTGTCGATGCTGTCTTGAAGCTGAATGAAACCACGGAGGTACCTCAGATCTTCAATGAAATTACTTTCCGGTCCCGGTGACCAGAATTGATTCTTCAATCTACTGGTCGTCGGCACGTAGTCCACATCCATTCGGATTTTATACGTCACGTTAGCTGGTAGACTATCTTGGAAGGACGCCGAGCGTCGTGAGCGTCCTGAACGAGGAATAAAGACGACCCCAGCTAGGAATTCATTTGTGTGAGTTAGAACATCAGCTTCTCTCTCAAGATCCTCTTCGGTATCAAAGCCCCGAATACGATCCACCAGGACGCATTCCATTAACTTTTCCAGAGTATTCACATTCTGCAGCAGCTTCCCGTTACTGCTTAGCCAACGAGCGAGTCTTGGAAGATCAAGATCCAAGGGTCCATCGTCAAGGTCAGCGTTGTCCGGAAGGAAAGATTGAATTGCAAGCTTCATGGTTTCTGATGAGAGGACTTCTTGAAGGTCTTCGAGTAACCGATCCTTGGACGACAGCTGAACCAGGGACGCTAGACTCTTTCCGAACCCAGTAACCACCTGCTGAAGTTTCTCAAACTCCGTGAAGCTTTGATTCGCCAGAGACATTACCTCACCGAGGACTTTTGTTCTTGGAGTATAAAGGATGCGGCCGCGTAACAGCGGCTTCACGTAGGACCATATTATTTTACCGCCATTCATCTTCACTATGTTCTTATACGTCTCTCTACAGAAGTCGGCTGCAATAAATAAAATGGATTTTTATTATCTTACTATCCACTCTTCTTATTAGATTTAAGGATTATGGTAGCTCACTCGGTAACGATGCCAGCTCCTCCTCGTCGAATTTCTTTTTCTGCTCTTCTATCCTTGACAGAACTTTGTAAAGTCCGCGTGTTTTTCCGATAACTGCTCGACCGCACATCATCTTTCCAGCATCCTCGAAAAAACCTAAAGCTGAAAATGTTCGATACGTGAAAAATTTCATCTAGGGTAAATCAGCATAGTAACGTCAGATTATATACTCACGGGATGTTGATTCGAAAGGTTCAGAGAAGGTCAAACTTTCTGCTGGCAATATTTTTGCAAAATTTCGGACTAGTTGTCCGACCACGGTAAAGTTACTCATCAATTCCTTTGCTTCGTCCTTGGTCAGATCCGCTTTAGATAGGATGGTCTTCACGTTGATGCTCATTAGCTGTAAGATTTATAATTTACCTATACACTCTGTTTTAGTCTTTTCTTCTTATTGTTAAGCAAATCTTACGTACGTTGTGCAAGATATAAGGGAAATTGATTTTTTCCAGTAATGCAACTGTCAAGTTGCGAGTTTGCTGTTCATCGAAATGACAGAGCATCGAAGAAACGTTTTCAGCATTAAATGGACCAGGGCCAAATCGAACGATATTATGGAATTGAGGAGAACAGATTGTTTCTCCGAAATTTATATTTTTTTGTTGCTTTCTCAATATTGATATTGTATCTATCTTTGCCCTGGCGAAACGTTCCACAACATCATCTGATATCTGAATGTCCTTCACCAAAAAAGATTTTAATTCATCCCAATTGATGAACATTTCTTTGATCGGATCTGAAAAGATTTAATATTTGCATATTTATATAAATTATTAATATACGATTGTCCATACTTCCTCTTTGATCATACATTTTACGTTCAACAGTCCCAAGTTCTTGAAGATTTCTAAAGACTCAAATATCTCAAGGACTTTGTGAAGATCTTCCTTAATGATTGGATCAGTGAGGAACGGTTCGACGTCATCAAGGATTTCGTTAAATCTGTGAAGGGATAAGAATTTAAGCCGATAATAGAAAACCAATGGGTTCATACTGAGGGAAAGGAAGACTCACCCTTCGAATAACTTGTCCACAGTTTTGTCCTGAAGAAGTTTCAGGATGCCGTCAACAATATCCGGTGCCTGCATAATTTTTGAAACATCATTAAAGTCAACTTTCCTTGCCAAATCCAAAAGAGTCGCAACTTCCGCCATAGCTGAACTCAAGTGTTCAAGAGCCTCATCGAGCCAAATCAAATCCCAAGTTTTCTTCTCCCTCCACTTGGGTAATTCGTGCTTGAGGATATCTCGATCGACACTACGTGAAAGGGCCTCAGAGATCTCTAGAAGGCAGGAAGAACACGTGTCCTGAAGTTGTTGACGTGGAGAAGAAGAAAACCGAATAAGTTTTCCTGATTTCTTTGAACTAAGAATCTTGTAGATTGATGAAGAATTTTCACCGTTTACTTCAGAAAACTGCAATTCCCAAAAATTTCATGAGCTTGTTTTATTTAAAAAATTAAAAAATCCACTAAGCATCAAAAAATTCATACCAGGTTTACATTTATGCTGGCATTGGGTAGCAGACGCTCAATATTTTTTATTTCTGATGGTTTAATTACTTCACTCAATGGCGTCCAAATTGGTACACTCTTTTCTACCATTCGACTCAAATTCCCAAGGACAATTATTTGTTTTTCAGTTGAATTTAACAGAGGAAGATTGTGCCTCAGTATATCAATTCCTCCAATTCCCAATGAAATCCATCTATAACAAATTTTACTTTAATACTAATAATCTTTGATCGATTTTTATTATTAAGTATTAAATCCACGTACAACCCTGCTCGTGAGTAATTAGGGCCTCCCACGAATTCGTAGAAGCAAGTAACAGTTTTTTCTCGCCATCCAGCATCCGAATAGTCAATGATGATCTCAAGAACGTAGTTTAATGATACTTCAAGACTTCTCACAAATTCTTCAAGAGTTCTCGTCTTGTTTTGCGTTTGAATCTCATGCCCCTGAATCTGACGGTATCAATAGCAATAAAAAATATAGCAGATAAATTCGAAGTGAAAAAAATAATTGAATATTTCAAAAACGCAGTTATTAGTTGATATATATTTTATTATTTTTATCGTATCAAAAAGGATAATCTGTGATTGTACCATAGTCATGGTCTTATTCCATCCTAAGGGGCCGAGGAATGCTTCCTTTAGCTGAACAGAGTTCCACTTCGCAGCCTTGCAGAAATATTCGCCGTAAAGTGCATGTTGTGACAGTTGAGAATTCAAAATGTCGATAGCATTTTCAGCCACACTGCACCAGGAACAATTTCTAAAATGGAAAAGACACGATACTCCAACAAATTGAATTACTTATCCATGCACATTAAAGTATCTATCTACTGGCATATATGAGTGGTGAGTTTGTAAAAAAAAAAAGTAAATAAAGAATTTTGATAACTCACCTATTAATGGAGAGGCTCGAAGATTCCAATAAACCACGTAAGAGCAACATGGATTTTTGAACAACCAATCGTGATAATTCTTTTGGGTTCTGAAATACATATCAATTTTTTTGTTTTACATAATTTAATCACTTTTTTTATAACAATCTCACCTTAATTCCAAGGAGCGTGCGAAATTCTTTCAATGATTTATTTTTAAAAGAAATCCACCATTTTGGTAATTCCGGTGATTCAAAACCGTCGCTCAATGAACGAATTAAAATGGACTGGAAGTGTTCTAGATTATGAAAAAAGTAAGTCTCGTTTGATGATTCTGTCGATGAGATTCCCATCCCCGACACTGCAGTATTGTAATCCTTATTAAATGGTACAAAATCTTTGCTACTTAGATTCTCTTGACTTTTTAATACTTTGGTACAAAAATTTCGAAGTCGCGAACGCAGTGAATCATCATGAATGAAACTTGGTACCAGCAGAAAATGATCGAAGTCGCAAATATCATTGCGTTCGGCAAAGAGTCCCAGTATATAATCATTCAACTGATTCGAATACAAGAAAGTGTCAACACCGGAAGCAAGTAAATTTGGCAACTCTTCAATGACATCCAGTAAGGGTTCAATTTTCGATTCCTTATATGAATCACGCACTTTCTGCCAGATGTCTCCACCAGAGATCCAATGTACGAGTCCGGAAACGATCTTCAAAAATCGATTCATCCTGACCAAGTCAAATGCGTTATCCCAGGTCTCATTTCCGGTTTCATTTCTTTTATTATTTCCACTTCTTCCCGAAGTAGAAAAAGTTATCCTACTTTCACGCATCAGACTGCGTATCCAGGATTTCTGGAATTTGATAAGCTCCAATTTCGTATCAGTCGGCAGATTCCTCCACGTAGTGGCATTGATTAAGTTTGAACGAAAAGAAAGTTCTGGATAAGCTGTAGTTAAATTAATGAAAATATCAATAAAGCTTATAATGGTGGTAGATAGCGGTTGGATTTCACGTAGTTCCTGTGTACGTCCGAGCGCTGCATTCTGAAATAATTAATCGTTGTCAGTATTCACTCAGCATAATACATATAAATATATATATTATATATATATAATATATATATACGATTAAAAACTTACAAGAAATTGTTCACCGATAGCACTTCTCAAAAGTTGATGAAGATCAAAGGAGCAAAGTTCGTTCAAAAAGTGTTGCCTGCTTGACTGCTTCCAATAACCGTCTTTCTCGAACCGTAGATCGCATACGGTCTCCCTCATTTTTTGTAATAACATAAATTCCGTTTCATTATTTTCCAAAAATGTGTCGAATTCCGTAAATTTTGGTAGAAGCGATACCGCTTCGAGTGGATGCGCCTCAAGGAGTTTAACGAGTTGACGAATGTCACCGTCCTTGACGAAATTCCAGCTGTACAGAACGCGTGCCTTTGAATGTCCAATTTCTTCTTTGGCTTTTTGATCCCAGGAATGCAGAGCATCCGTTGCATGACTTAAGAGTTGAGAGAGGGCAGCCATCAGTAATTGTTGAGAACGAGGCCACTTGTCGGCGGAAAGTTCCTAAAAATGTTATTGTACAGATCAATCGATGATTATGTAAACAGAAAAATCTAAACCTAATCGTTAAAGAGGCTAGCTTATGTATTAATGAAATTAAACGATGATTACCTGAAATTGATTAGAGAATTTATATTGAGAGTTTTTTAAATTTTCTTTCAGGCTCTCCAGAAATCGATATAAATATCGAGACGAATATGGCGGCTCGATTACAATCGATTTTAAGGTACCATCTTGAAGTGTTTCTCCTAATTCGTAAAAATTGAAAGTGATTCGGGCGAAGCGACACCTGTACTCGGAAACTGGCTTTTTCCAAAAAAGTGTTTCTCGCAAGTATAAATCGGTGAATAGATTAACATTCTCAGGATCTGCATCGCACGTAAAATTCTTAAGGATTGTGCATTCCCTTTCGGAAAGTCTTGGTACCCTTGATCTGGTGAACCATGAGAAAATATCAGAACAGCTAACGGCCGAGTCTGATCTAATTAGCGTGAGAAACTTAGGGTCATCGAGACCATTTACAAGCGTCGCCAGAATTTCAGCAAAACGATGGTATGCAATCGCAACAGGACTATCATCGGCAAATCCGAGAACAGAGAGAACATCGATACTGCCATTTTGTTTGGCTTTATCCTTGTGCGAGCGAAGAATGTTGAGTATGACGCGTGAAATTTCGTCGAGAGCTCGTGAAATGAATTTTGTCAGAATCAAAATTCTGTCCTGCATTGTCATTGACTTGTCTTGACCTTTTCCATTATTTGTATAACTCCTGGTCAGCACGTCGCTCGCAGACGCATCGCGTTGAAAGGCTTCGGCGCTCTTATCAATTTGTAAATCTAAAAATTCCATGAGCTCGAGAAGAGTCCTGAAATAAAAAATGTTAACAGACCCAAGTTTATTGGATATAGAAATAAAAAAAAATAAATATCTACCGTTTGCCACTCTCTCCCACAGGACGCTCTGAGCGTTCCTCAAAAGTCTTCTTCACTTCCGGAAGAAATTTATTAACGTAGACTGGAAAAGATGGCGACATATCTGGTAGAATTAGCCCGTCAGACTTTTCAATAAAGGTACTCATGTTTGCCACCAGATGTCGAAATTTGACGTAACCTAAAGTCCAGTCGAAACTCTGAATATCGTCCTTATCGTTGGTTCCCCACTGAAAAATTGGAAGTAAAAAATAATTATCATTCTGACAGCTGCTTGATAATACTCGATGAAGAGATTATGATTTCTCACGATTTTACGTAGTCTAGTAAATGCAGGTTGGTCGGTCCATTCCCTGAGAAAGAGTCCTGGATTGCAGCTGATTCTTTCAATCTCGCGGACTACCTGTCGACTTCCGTTTCTCAGATCAAGTACATCACCAATACTCTCACTGCGTATACATGGCCAATCTGGTTCATGATTTTGATACTCAGTGATACCTGTAAACTGATAAGTAAAACCCAGAATAAAATATAATTAATTAATCAGTAAATAAAAAAAAGAAATTTATTCATCTCCCTCTTACCAAATGAAGTGGTCTCATCAGGGTAATCGTGTCAAGGATGTCCAGAGTGATAGGAACTAAATTTTCCAGGAGTAGCTTAGCCACAATTGTTGTCTGTGGCATTTCGCGTAGAACTTCCGAAAGCTCCAAAGAGTAATTCTTTTCTTGAAGATGCTGAAGAAGAGTCTCAAGATGTTCCTGAATGACATCAGTCGCCCATGCCAAAGCGTACAAGTTTCGCCAGGTAACTTTGCTCTGAACGTTGAAGAGTGGACTTTCCATTACGGTGAAGAGCTTGCAGATAAGTCCAATGCTAGAAAGATATTTGAGGATTGCTTTTATTTATATTTTTTAAATATAAAGGAAACCAGAAGACACAGTTATATATTTCATCTAAGCTGACCTGATCTCCCAAGCGTCTTGGATGCTGAGGTCGGCGGTCCACGCATTAATAAACTTCTGTCTGGATCTTTCGATGACTTCCAGTTCATAATTCTTTAGATCTTCTTCGTGAAGCAGGGAATCAATATGTTTGTAAATTTTAATGGTCTTATCATTGAAAGCAGTCCAATTAAAATCATACTTTTTCAAACTAAATGTGGAAATAGATTTATCAAGATCAGTGACGCTTCGATCAAGATTCATCTCGACAAGTGATGAAAGCCGGCAAATTGTTTTCTTAAGAATCACGTCGTTCGATGACTCAGGATATTCGAGAAGCTCTATCGAAATCGATGCATTGCAGTAAGCTTGAGTGAAATTTTTTAATTCCAGAATTTTCAAGACCTAAAATCAATTACACCATTTTTTTGACCGATGCAAAGATCCGAAGTCGAAAATTAGGCTTATACATACCTTTTCTCTATTTGCAAGAGTCAAATAAAATGTATTCAGAAGCTGTGATCGATAATTCCGAACGTCAAAGATCCAGCGGTTTGGTTCACTTTCAACGTCATCCAAAATGGTTCCGGCCAGTACATCCATTCGTTTGAGATCCGGTATAATACTCACATAAGCCAAGCTGCGTAAACCCATAAGTTTCGCCATTGCAAGATGTACAGCTAATCTATAAAAATACAAAAATATATAAGACCACGTGAATATTAAATAAGCGATCGGCAGAAGATAATTAAGATCTCTGCTATTAAACGCCTCTTACACGTCAAGTCTTCCCGTAGCTTCATTTTTCTTGAAGATCTCCATCCACTCTTGAGAAATATCAAAAGTACCTTGCCAATCGTTCTCGTTAGATCCGATCGAAATTACAGATTCACGATCAAAGTACTCGAATAATTTTCTCATGCTACTCAAAAGGGAAGTCACGTTTGATTTTTCCAAAGCGACAGGTTGCTGGAAAGCCATGGTCACAAAGGTGGACAGAGTGTTGACGACCTAGTATATAATATTTTCGAATAAATCAAATCTCCCTAAAATAAATATTAAAAAAGTTAACATAAGAAAATAATAACTTACGATATCCTGAAAATTATCTAACTCGAAAGAATCGTATATTTCTGAAATGAATTTCTTTGTCTGATTATTGCATAAGAGATCTTTTAATAAGACAGCAGAATCGTTCTCGTGTTTCTGTACATCGACATTAAATATTTCCCGGAAGACGTGGTCTTCACAAATAGCTTGGCCAGCATCCTTTAGTTTATCCATTTCCTCGATAAAATGCTGCGTGTGTTACAGAACAAAAAACACATCAAGTACATGACAGTTGCGTAATATTGTTTTTCTGTTTATCAATTATTGGACAATTGCATAACAGAAATCTGCAGTATACACACCTCGGCCACCATAGCGTGCGAGAAGGACCGAACGACAGTCTCGAAAGAAGTAGGTTTGAGACTTCCCAGGATACGCTTCACAAGATCCTTATGCTTGAGCGATACTTTATAGAGTTTGCTTGGTGTCTCTGAATAAAGCGTCGCGACGTGCTCAACCGTCCTCACGATTTTCTCCGTCAGAGAGACAAAGTAGGTAGCCAGATTTAAGACATTCTTTGGAAAAATATTTCGAAGAGCATCGAGAAGTTCAGTTCCCCTAGAAAAAAGATAATATCACGAAATGCATATAATTATTAATACATGATTAATATCATTGACTCACTTTCCAATCTCGTTCTGATGATGATCGATCAATCTGTTGGTCAATGTTACACCGTCCATTAGAACTACGTAAGCCAAATCAAAGGCCTTGCCAATATCGTGACGAAGTTCTTTTCGTTCTCTTGTAGAATATTGAGTACCAGTGAGAGACGATGGACCAGAGTGATGCTGATCAGATGCAGGATTCGACTGTCTAAGGATTTCTTCAAGGGTGGTTAAGAATTGATTAAAGCTGGATAAAGCATGGTGAACCACGGGCCAATCCGGATCATTCTGGAAGATCGGCTCTAGGAGAGCAAGTGATTTATTGATGCTGAAAAATAATATACCATGTGCATGACTTATATTAGTTTAGTTACTAAGATGTCGATATCGGTTATCCGTCACGTCCGACCATTCATTCTACTCACAAAGTCAAATCCATGTCGCGAAAGGTGACATTTCGAAAAAGTGGAATGACAAAAGGAAGCCATCGCTCTAATTTCAAATAAGATGGAACAAAGCGTTCTATTGTCTTCAATTGTAGAAGTTGTTCAACTGCATGACTCAAATCATTGAGAAAATCATATTTCCGAAATCTGCTCATCGCGCGATCGAGCGTATCCAAAAATTTTTGTATGTTCAGATGATGCGTCAGTTGATTTACCAAAGCGACCACCCTGACGGAATCAAGATTACATAGAACCTGGGTGACATCGTTTAGGTCCAAATCATTAGGTACCACTAAGTACTGGGCAAGAGTTTCACTGGAGCATAGTATGTCGTCGATATCAGTAGAGCCAAAACTGTCAACCAGCTGTCAATGAAAAGTCAATGAAAAATCAATAAAAGTTAGACCATATTTATATTTTCAAAATGACAAATATAGTTTTAGTAAGCCGAAAACTAGATATTGCTTACCGGTGCCAAATTTATTGTAGCATTTTGCAAAATCGCATCAATCAAATCAGACTGTATCCCCAATCCAAGAGATTTTACATGACTTTTTATGAATTCATGATCCAGGAACAAATCACCAACATGTATTCCCTTTTCTACAAAATAAATAAATAAAGACGATGTTAAGAATATCAAACGAATGACTTTCTGTTATCAAACCTTCATTTACCAAATAAAAGTTTCACGTGCGGCTGAGTGAAAGTCTGAGCCATAGACTCCAAAAGTTTTGTGCCTTTTGGCAGATTTTTTATGACAGTCACCAAAGTATCATTTCCCAGCAGCGGTTCTAACTCTCCGAAAAGTGGTTCGAGCCTGGATAAAGGATAAAAGTTTTCTTAAGTAAAAAAAAAAAACAAATTAAGAAAATAAATGCAAATATGTATCCATCGTGTCGAAGTCATGTGAAGTCACGTATTAAAAAACTTACGTGGCATTTCTATAACTAGGTACTGTCTCATACGCCGACAATGGTTCACAAGGATTGCCAATACTGCAGACAAAACTTCGCAGAAAAGGAAGAAGTCCATTTTGTGGCAGCATCCGTCCCGAAAACTGACACGTTGGATTGTACTCGGGCTCAACGTTGTGCCTTACGGTGTAGAGAAGTAGAAAGATTGCTATCGGCCATAAAAACACCAGACCCAGAATTCCCTGGATAATAAAATGAAGCGTAAGAAAAAAAGAACTTGCCGTCGATACAGATAACAGTGAATAATTAAAATATATAATTTTTTTCAACTTACCGGTTGTCTCTTTCGCACCAGGTAATTCTTCCAAAGGAGAAGGCCCATTTGACCAGTCCCCATTATTGGTTGATCTTTCAAGCAGTAACTTCAAACTGAAATTCAAATTTACACGGTTAAACACCAACGAAGTCAAATTAATGACTGATGCCGATACTGTCAACGTACAGCTCTCCAATCGTCAGCATATGATAAGTATAGTAAGTCTTTTCCCGGAAGTTTTTATCTTTGAAGCAGAATGTCTGCTATCACGTTTCAACCGCAGACACGATAGGTGCTGCAAAACGCGACGAATGAGAACAAAGAAAAAGAAGTAGAATTTATATTTTTATAAATATTCAAATTTGATACTGTTCCGTATGCACTCGTATAACATTCACGGATGTAACAATGGTTTAAATAATTTATACAAATCTAGTAATATTTACTAAATGCGTTTTTTTTTACATTTAATAACTCAGAGCTCAGAGTTACGGAAATACTTATAGATTAACAATGAATGGCTGTTAATATCACGTCACGGTACTCGCATCTTTTAATGGACCACCAGAAAAGTCCAATAGCAAATTAAACGTGATTTGGTTGGCCGCGTTCTGTAATATAACGTTTTGTCTACAGCGGAAGAACGAGAGTCATAGGATACGGTAGGATGTTGTTAATTATTAGCAAATATCTAATAGTCAATGATTAATGACGAAGAGGGATTTAATTCACAAACTTACTTAAAGACTGAGAATAAAATTCGATTAAATTGACGAAAGTATGGGAGTAAGTATTCTTTGATGAGAATTTGAAATTATTATTCGACACTGTGAAGAGGCCTCCAGCTGACAAAATTTATGCTCGTTAATTAACCATTGTTTTCACTTTTCCAAATACGAAACACCTTTCACAAGATACTTTTTCGAAAACTCGTAAGTGAAAAACATTCCCTCTCGGTGATTTCGGTAGGAATTGCACGGCAGACTTTCACTGTCTGTAATCCTCTTATTACAAGGTCTTGTTTACAATCCCATAATCTTCCACTGGACAGTTATGACTACGATATAATATGAGTGCCTACTCAAACATTTCTTAAATATTGAAAAGTCGAATAACAAATTCAAACAAAATAAGAGCCAAAATCTGTCGTATATACCACGCTAGAAATGTATAATAAAAGGGTCTTCAAGATTGTAAAACAGTTAAGTGATATGAAGCTTATTTGAATAAGTATAGAGAGTCTAGCAACTCGTTCCGCGTCTAAATAAAGGCGTTCAGCGGTTTAGAGGTTAAATTTAGCCAATATATTCGAAAGTAAAATTTGAAAAGTATTTATTATCCTGTTCATTGTGCTCTTCCTGGCTGATATCCATATATATACATAGACACAAATATATATAGTTAGTTTATTTTAGTAGTTAATGTTGGACTGTCAGATCGAGCGGCGATACGGATCGACTGAGGTTACGAAGCGACATTCTTTCTGTTCTCTCTTTTCACTCGTTTCTCTGCTTCCCCTATATCCCTAGACCCTTTTTCTTCTCCTTTTACTCTCTAGCTTCGCATCGCACTATCGCGTTGACGCCTTGTGCGCTACAACTTGTTGAGCCACAACACAACGTGCCAAGTTCATAGTGCAAGGCCGACGACTTAATAGTCTGGACACAATTCTAACTTGATTTCTTAATTTCTTTTTAGGGATCTCCAAAGCCTTGACAATCACCAATAGGAACTACTAGTTATCACGCTATCGAAAATGATAAAATTCAAATAACATTCGGTGTAAATCGACTCTTATCCATTATTTAATACATATAAGCAATGCTAAATAATCGAGTAGAAGCCATTGGGCGTAAACAGTGTAATATTCGTAATCTCAGAGACACGAAAACATGACTTACCAATAAATATGATATTCGTAATCTCAGAGATACGTAAAACATGACTTACCAATAAATATTTCTTTGATTTAGCAGGATCAACAAGTACGACAGGGCCCATGAAATCGTTGAATCCGTCGACTTCAACCGGGGTCAATAAGTTCAATGAAATACAGTAATATCAATGATATCAAGCGTCCGGTAATATATTGATTAATCCAAACTGTCGAAGTTTGCGTGACACTTGTTAAAAAGTTTTACCGGCAGACACGTGGCTTTTTCAAAACACAACACTAGCACCAGACAACATACAGGAACTTGAATTTTGTATAATTGAGTTGTCAATCGCATAACGGAGAATCACAACTGTTTCACATATTATTTACAGAGTTTCTACGCGGAGATTCCGACCTATCGAAGTTTCAAATAGGCGTGCGAAACAAAGTCTGAATGCCTGTGACCTTCCCAGAGCGTATGGGGTAAAAAAAGAAAGGAATGCAAACCTATAGCTACCGATTGCTGTTATGACTACGCGCGAAGAAGACAGCAACAGAGAAGGATAGTAACGACGCGTTGTATGCATGCCGATGCACCTTTCGAAACTGATAGTAAAGTCACAAAGACCGAACTAGGGTACCTGGTCTTCCGTGCGTCCTTGTGACTCTGCAACGTCGCGACGTTGGCCGTTAGAGACGAACTCGTAGCAACTGATTCATATACGGTGGGATCACGCATTAATAAAAAGTTTACTTCAATTTTTAAAAAATATTATGCATATTCTCGTTATGTTTATATGATATAACACGTGATATATTTTACACTGATATTTTGTAACATGACGATAATTCAAATTAAACGTAACGCTCGTAAGAGCACTCTCGAATATCCGCTCGAAATTGGAATTTAATTATGCAACTGACGTACAATAGTTTGTTCGATTAGGTGGGCTTTTATTGTTCCCACTGTTTGTTATTAATATTAATACAGTACAAAATTCTCATTGGGATTTTCATTTCGACGTCGTTTAATATTAACGCTCATTGGTTCTCATCGACGCGAGCGAATCGACTAATAATCGTTGGGGTGGTGAAAGATGACTGCGCGCGCAACAATCTGCTTTCTGTGCTAGGTTTCAACTTGTAAATGAGATCGCCGAGTTGAGTAGTTGCTACTTACTGTGCGATCTGTACTCTTCTATCTCCGCTGAGATACTGCCAGAGATTATTATCATCGTGGGAAAATCGAAGTATTTATTTATTGTACCTGCTGTATTATCTAACTCCATAATCATTACAGTTCAGGAATATTCAGTGTATGTCATTTGAATATTTTTTGTTATACATTTCTTTTTTATTTTATTGTCAATCATACTGTATTTATTGATAGATCAAGAGACAAGAGAGTAAATTATTGAGTGACCATGGCTTGTCCCATGACAATCAATGTAATAAAGTAAGTGGATGGAAAAGAAATTTTAGTCGATTATTTATATTTATTATAGCATATTTATCAGGCGTTATGAAAGAGATATTTTATAAATTGCGCAAATAATCTTTCGTATCACTTTGTATGGAAAAATTTAAATAACAATGTCAGAGATCACTGCTGTTAAGTCGTTTCATAGTCGAATCGTTAATAGATTATTATATTGGTTACATATTTAGCGAAAATGCGACAGCCGATGCAGATCAGGATGGAGATCAACTGACCGAAGGCCCTGGGTTACTTTACAGCGAGTATTTACATCTCGACAAGATATTATCGGCGCAGAATCCACTTAGTACAATATATAAAGATGTCGTTCACGATGAGCATCTTTTCATTATTACCCATCAAGGTACGTATAATCGTTATTATTAAGAATTTTTATCGGGAAAAAATATGACGTATTTTTGTCCCGTAAATATCTACATTTTTGTTTTCTAAATTGATGGAAATAACGCATCCATTGTCGTGGTCTTTGGCGAATTTTTTTCTTTATATTTTATATTTCTTCTTATGCTACTCTCGTTCCTTCTTTATTTATTATTTTTATTCTTCGCAATTTTTACAACTCTTTTCTCTCTCTCTCTCTCTCTCTCTCTCGCTCTCTTTTTTTCTTCTTTCCTACTCTTTGCGATTCTTTTTGGCCGTCCAGCGTACGAGCTCTGGTTCAAGCAAATCATTTACGAGTTGGACTCCATAAGAGGACTTTTCAATACTGAGGTAAGATTTTTACTGAACAAATCATCTTTCCTTAATACCTTATTCAAGTGTATTCTCCTATACGATGTAATTAGGTGAATTATCATTGAATTTGATTTTCAGGGCTTGGACGAATCTCGTACACTTGAAATACTGAAGAGATTGAATCGTATCGTTCTCATTCTAAAGGTAAAAGGATTATTACTGATTAATAATGATAACGAGGCAGCCATTTGTAAAAGGTCAATGATTTCTTATGCCATCCATATAATCGTGAACAAACTGACAGTGACAGTGACAATGAGCTTTTACTACAACCAGGGGGTGAATGCCCTCTGATTTCAAGCCAATTAGCCTCGTCGTGTACAGTAGCATTTTGACGTCATGGTTGCTATATGTGATGGCGTCGGCGACAGCGTAGTTGTCACTTTTAGAATGAGTGTTGGTAACGAAGCCAATGTACCAGAAACTATCCTACGTGCATGGTATCGTTTTACCGACATGAGGGTAACACTGTTAATCAAATTTCAATAACTAGTAAAGTAAAAGAATTTTCGGAATTCTTGTCTTTGCTTACCACCTGTATTTTCTCAACTTTAAGTTTTCCTTGGATTTCGTCTTTACTTTGTTTTTTATTTAATCTAACTTGCATAACCTACTAAACGTTGGCGGGGAATTCAAATCAAAAAGTCTTAGTGACGATGGATGTTCCTCTTGATTGAGAATAGTGGTAATTCGATATTTGAATACCTGCAATGGCAGTATACCAGGGTGAGCTACACGATAGTCGATATATGTGACATGCGATATGTGAAATGCGATATCATACGCAACTGACCTCACTTGGTTAAAACCGTCCCGCGCTGAGACTATTTCGAAACCACAGAAATCAAATGATTTCCATACAGAAGAGACTTCTATGCTTGTTTCCCCCTCTGCACGTCTCACGTCTCATCAAGCTGAGGATAAGACTTTATCCCGTCTCTTAAATCAACTTTATCTCATCTCGTCTACATTTGATTGTGAAACCCAGCCAATAGCGAACAAATAGGAATTTATGAAAAATAATTTTCACATCAAGTTATATGTACATATTTCTTTGTTTTAGCTACTGGTCGATCAGGTGATGATACTTGAAACGATGACTCCTCTAGACTTTATGGCTTTTCGTGATTATCTTTGTCCCGCTTCCGGTTTCCAATCACTTCAGTTTCGTCTGCTGGAGAATAAACTTGGCGTTCAGCAAGAACATCGTGTAAAATTTAATCAAAGCTATACTCGCGTTTTTGGTCGAGATCCACGAGCCATCGAAGCCATCTGTCGGGCTGAAGGGGAACCGAGTTTGAGCTTTCTGGTTCAACAGTGGTTGGCAAGGACGCCAGGTCTTGAGACTGATGATTTTGATTTTTGGGGAAAGTACAAAAAAGCTGTTGATCGGATGCTTGCCGATCAGGAAGTCGTAGTAGAGGTAAAGCTATGCTTTATTTTGACTTTATTAGGATTCATTTCAAGTAAGATGAGAACAACAAGGAATCTCAAACTGTTGACAAGTATTTATTAGACGTAACAAATAAAAATAAAAATATGGATTTATAGAATGAAACAAAGGAACAAACGAAGAAGCATCTAACGGCTAGTCTGGCATCACGTCGAGCAGTCTTCGACACCATCTTCAACGAGTCTCTTCACAATGCTTTGGTCTCCAGGGGTGAACGAAGATTTAGTCATGCAGCCTTACAAGGTGCTGTCATGATCACGCTCTACAGGGATGAGCCACGCTTCAGTCAACCACATCAAATTCTTACAGCATTGATGGATATTGATTCTTTGATTACCAAGTGGAGATGTGAGTTATTTAATTTTATTTACCCTTAAAAAAGATCTTATTATTAATTCTATTCAAATTGTCTTCACATAGATAATCACGTCATTATGGTTCAACGAATGATTGGATCCCAACAATTAGGAACTGGCGGTTCATCTGGCTACCACTATCTAAAATCGACCTTGAGGTAACATAAGGAGATTCGTGTACTATCTCTTTTTTTTTTATTTTGGAAGTACGCGCTCTGTTCTTCCGTTCTCTATCTATCGATCTTCGTCTCTCTTTGTCTCTTTCTTTTTCTACCTCCCTCTCTCTTTCTCTCTGTCTCTTCTTCCGATAGTGACCGGTATAAGGTGTTCCTGGATCTCTTCAATCTGTCAACGTTTCTGATCCCACGGCAACTTATCCCGCCATTGACCAAGAAGATGAAGACCAAACTGTCAGTTGCTTGGGGTTCATGGGGTGAGGAGGATGAACATAATAATTCTGAAAGTTCTGTCGAAGTTTCTATGTGACGTTTGTTGAAGAATCAACCTCGTCCGATGAACATAACAAGAGATATTAATGATAGTTTAGCAAAATTATAAGGTATCAAGAGTGAAAATTGAATTTTTATTCGTCAACTTATTATGTACTATATACGTATAATATATTACTTATATATAAAAAATATCATTCGCTCAACGAGAGCATGCAAAAACTTTTTCTAATGCCGTTATACATTTGAAAATTGCACGAATAAATACTAAGTATGAAAAAAAGACGAGCTGCAATATGGTAAGAAAATATTTTTCTTAATTTCATACAGACCCGATATCGTAGTTATCATTCATGGCTAGGATATATCAATTGAAGACACTTGATTGGCAATACCTGTACACAGAAAAAACAGCTAAAGAATTGCAGCCTGTCATCAATCATAATTATTTTTAATTATTGTGCACATTTAATTAACAAACAGTTTCATATCCAGCACAGCCAAGTCTACATAAAAACTTTGTCTTGGCAGCTTTTGATAAAGTGTCAAAAGGTACTCACCACAAAGATTGCTACCAATTGCAATGTATACGTATCCCTTATTACCGAAAGATGGACCCCATGAGTTTTTGACAATGTAATACGGTATAGCAGCAGTGTTATCATAGCCAACAATTTGGACGGCATGATTTAAACTGACAAAAGAACCGTCACAATGATACTGGATGATTCCGCCCAAATAATTCTGCCAAGTCAAAGCGTTCACAGCCACCGCGACTGGACCGTGATACGCAATGGCTGCCAGAAGCTTTTGTTCGTTATCTACAAAGCTGAAAATTACAAAGCATTGAGTGTCAGCTTTGAAGTGAATTTAAATTGATGAAATTCGACGTGGGACTATAGTCAATGATTTTATCAATTAACATTCCAAACACCACGTGGATACCCATCAGAAGTAACAAGGATTTTTTTCTAATCGCATCTCATGAGATTTTCCTAACAATTAGATACATTGATGACGTCAAAGGCGTACTAGATAAAGACGATGGCCTTCAACGTGTAAGGAGAGACTATAGACGATACCAGTCAAGAGAATTTATCTAACATCAGGTATTCAACTGACTAGCAATTAAATTATATATATATATGTACAAGTGTAATAACCGGTCGTCTTATATAATTTAACGTTTCATGAAAACCACTTTACCTAGTACGGAGTTCAGGCCGCCTATTTTTCTCTCTTACCTGTCGCACGTATAATCTGTAATACGAAATCCTGGAGTGGCTTTGTTACTCCTGGGAAAAAGAATAATTCATAAGTTAGTACGAACGACCTTAAAGTGGTGTCACCTTCATTTTTTGTTTTCACCTACTTGTCGATTTTGCATACGTCGGTTTTTCTCGTCAGTGGGTAACTGGTTTCAGGTAGAATTTTCATCTTCGTAGCAAGAAGCCATCCAAGCAGGCTGCATATGTCGCCACCCTCGCAACCAAAGTTATTGTTCCTTGCGCAATCAATCATCTGCGCGCGAAATTATTGACATTTTGACATCTTCATCCAAATTATTAGCCATCGACTTGCAGTCGATGTATTAGGATACCTCTTGAACACTAAGAGACGGTAAAGTCCCATTAGCAATTGCTGCCATTGATTCCACTACTTGTACAGTGCTAAAGGCCCAACAGGCCCCGCAATTTCCTTGACTACGAATCGGGCCCACCGCACCCTTTTCTCTCCAGTCGAACTTCAGCGGCAATTCTTTAGTACCTTTGGCTCCCGTCCCAACTAAAAGATTCGACACTCCTCTCTTTCTTCGCTCATATACCTCCGAGGAATTCTTTGACGCCATTTTACGTTCCCTTAAAGACACTTGTAAGAATTCCTCTGGAGACATATCTGAAAATTCTGTCAGTCCATAATATGCGCTTTCCTTTGATGTTCGTAATCCGTTCATTCTTTCGATGTGACGCAGCGACGTCTGCAAAACAGACAAACATTAAGATTTTAATCTCGTGCGTTCAAGAAGTTAGCAGAACCTTAACTGAAGACGTAGATTGTTATTGGAGTAATTTTGTTTCATATAAACTTTAAAAATATCTTGAATCACTATTGAATCGTGACATTCCTTTTGTGCCAGCCTTCGGACAAGTAAATAATCGGGAGTTAACAGTAATTTTACCTACCTGAAAGCTTTTAAATCTCTTATCATATTCATGTACATCACGTCGGTAAGATTTATTATGTTTAGTAACGTATTCCTCGAATAGCTTCACGTCCTCTTTTGTCTCACTCGGCTGGACTTTGAAGGGAATAGCAAGAAAACACAAACTAACCACCAGAACCGCAATGACTATCGTCTTCCACTCCATGACTGACGCGAATCATGTTCCGCGCTGTACAATCACTTCATAAGCTTAGAACATGCATACGTGTTAAATATCTATCGGCTCAGTTATACTCGATTCAGAGTCTCATGAGAGCATGACTATGATACACGAGTGTAACACGATAAAACCTCAGGGGCGTAGAGCCAAGGTAGTAATAAAGGTGTAAGTGCCTTTATATAAATATATATTGAGAACGCTTTGTCAATAGCAAGTCAAGTATTACTTGCTTCATAATATTCCTCTTACTCTCCTTATATTCTCTTTTGCCCTTCATAATATCCTCTATTTTCATTACCTATGCTCATGCATGTGTTGATACATTGCTATAAAATTCCTGAGAAAATATTAGCAATTGACGTTATTCATGAATTATGTAAACAAGTTATGAAAAACAGTCAGCTATATTGAAAGTGTGATCATGATAAAAAGAAGGAAATTCAAGATGCGTTTATACGATGGTTGAAGTCAATAAGGTACTTTTAATTAAACGTAAATAGTATGATGTCTTTGATAGGCATGTTATAGATACGTTAGATTTTTTCGAAATCTTTGACTACGATACTTGGAATCGTTTATAATATTGAGCAGTGATTTTGATAATACAAATTGGATCTAACAATGCGCATTGGTAAACTCTTATTTATTGTACGTTTTGACTTATTTTTCTAGCTGCAATAAAAAAAATGCTCTGTTTGAATGAAAGAACGTGTTGTGATTCTACGGATCACCATAAGATGGCTATAGTCAACTTCCGTTTTCAGTTTGACATTCTGCTCCCGTAGCCCCTTTTCCGTCTCCGTGTCAAACATGGCTGCCCGTTCAATCTCAAAGAAGCGAAAGGTTCGTGCATCCATATTTGTCTATTTCCTTTACTACAGATATAATTGAATATTATTCTGGCTCAGTACTTTCTATTTTACGTTTAACTTCGAGACTCCTACATAAAGTTATATATACTATCGGATGGCATGGATACACATTGGCTATGGTTGTCGCCGATGTATCCCACACTTTCTCATATGCTATGGATATTGCATTTCAGCCTAACCTCGTTAAAAACTATGCGGACTATTTTGACAGCTATGTATACTGATGTCGTTTCTTCAAAATCTCTCTCTAAAACGCTAAACTCGTCTAGGATTTCACTTAATATGTTAGACTTAACATTTTTGATACTTTACTCAGTGAGCATGATTGCTCTGTTAGGTTACTTTGAAAGCAGCTGTACCTGTTTTGCACAATTTTTTCAATGTTTATTTTATATTCTTATTTAGTTCGTTGGAGACGGTGTCTTTAAGGCCGAGCTCAACGAGTTTCTAACTCGTGAATTGGCTGAAGATGGTTACTCTGGTGTTGAAGTACGAGTTACTCCTACTCGGACTGAGATCATCTTGATGGCAACTCATACTCAGAGTGTGCTTGGAGAAAAAGGACGTCGTATCAGGGAACTGACTTCTGTGGTACAGAAGCGTTTCAATTTCAAAGAGCACAGTGTTGAACTCTATGCTGAAAAAGTTGCTACTCGTGGCCTCTGTGCCATAGCACAAGCTGAATCTTTGCGTTACAAGCTCATTGGTGGTTTGGCTGTAAGAAGGTGCGCAGTGCTTCTCTTATTAACATTATTACCATGCTGTTTTCATACATCTCAATCCATTTGTCATTTTAATTTTGTTCTTCTATCAGAGCTTGTTATGGAGTGCTCCGCTTCATTATGGAATCAGGAGCTCAAGGATGTGAAGTGGTAGTCAGTGGCAAATTGCGTGGTCAACGTGCAAAATCAATGAAATTTGTTGATGGACTGATGATTCATTCAGGTGAACCCATCAATGACTATGTCGATACAGCCACGCGACATGTACTTCTAAGGCAGGGTAGGTGTTGGATTACACAGTCCAATAAAAGTATACATATGTTTTTTAAAATAATTTTGATATTTACTTTAGGTGTTTTGGGAATCAAAGTGAAAATCATGCTTCCTTGTGATGAAACTGGTAAAACTGGACCTAGAAAACCATTGCCAGACAAATTTTCAGTGGCTGAGCCAAAGGATGAAGAACTGCCTTCGCATCCATCATCTGACATTAAAGTGACTAAGCCAGATGCTCCCCAACCAGCTCCAATTGCTGTTTGACGACATACGTGATTACAATAAAAGTTTTAAAATTAAAAACTATATTTGAATTCCGATAAATATTGCACCTACATACAATCCATTCAAAATATATCCATTAGCTATAAACAAAGTAACCGTAATCCTTATCAATTCGAATCGACATTATGCTTGTACATTGTCATATCGATAACTAAAATACATGGAATAGATACAGATAACAGAGGTTTAAAATTTCAGTATTTACACAGCATTTGTATTTTACGTTTTATTTATGAAATATTGATTTACCGTAACATTTTATTGAATAACTAGCAACTTATAGTGTTTAACCGTGCACTCAGAAACGATACTAAAGTTGAGCGAGACTTTTGGCAATTACCGATTTTATAAAACTCTAACAATTGACAACAAATGTCTTATACCGTTAGAGTATTTTATATCGGTCAGCCAATATTTCATCAATCATTCGCCTATTTCCCTTCTACGTTGATCAATCTATCAATAAGTAAAAAGGTGCATATTACCAGTTTAAAAATTTTTACGATATTTTTAAAATCTTGCTGGTCGCAAATTCATTTTGCAATATAATCACTGGACATTGTGTGCGACAATACCGTAGTAAAGGCAATTTTTCATTTTATGGAGACAAGAAGCAAATAATGCACCACGTTTACTTCTTGTTCCTACATATTCAGCAAACCTCTATATAGAAATTTATCTCGATTTGTAAATTAGTTTGAAATGGACATTGGAATTCAGGTCACGACGCTGGATCAAAAGCCAATAACACGATTGTAATACTATACCACGTGTAGCATCATGGCATTCTTATATCCATCCAAAGCTAATTGAACTGTTGGATTTCAAAATTATAGGTGTAACAATAGTGACTGTTCGAAAGTGAAAACCAACTGATTGATGAATAAAATATCATTACTTAAAATGAAAGGACTATAACCGTGATTAAATTGCGGAATAACCTTATCAATTTGTAACGCATTCGTGTAAATGCAATTAAATTAGACCCATGTGAACCACCCAAGTGATTAATTATAGAACTATCATACGAATAATGCCGACGAATTTTTCATTTTCCCTTACATTCTAAATTACTTAACCTTATTCCCTGGAAAAAAGATATACTATGGAAAAAAATAACGCAACACCGAAAATATACCGTCTGTCGACAAACAGTAACGATTTCATTTAAATAATCTTTTTTGTTATTTTCGTCATTTTTAATAACTCAGTTCTCTTTGCTTTTCGATGACCGAGTATTCCAATGGGACAGTTACTGGTTTACTGTTGCCATCCTTTGTGTGAGCATAAGCAATCCTTCAACCAAGCGTCGCAAAAGATATGGAACTGAAGGGCTTGAAGCTACAGAACTTAGTGCCATTCTGATTTCGTGGAAAACGTTGCGTGTGAAAGGATTTCGTCGTGAAGAAAGCCGCAACGATAAGAATTGATAATAGATGAAAGGCGTGAATAGACCGGCTCGACCGCTGTACGAAAAAATTACGTAATACATATAAGTGATAGAATGACTATTTCTATTTTATAATGCATCTATAATAATGGGTTATACATACGTGAGAACAAGGAATACGGTGAGTGGCAAAATCATTATCTCGCATAATCCACACAAGCGGAGAATATTGCGAGACTGAAATTCAACCAGGGATATCAACAGTCGAGCGGCCCAACAGCTGTTTTGTCCAAGGCACTACAATTAATATCAGCAAAGCAATGTATTATTAGTGACACTATTCTATCACGTATGTGTAATGAAAGTAAATATTATCAACTTACATCAAGAAGCGTGAGAGAATAACTAGCTGAGTGAAGGAGTGCGAAGAGAAAAACTGGGCTGAGTACAACTGTTATCTTTTTTTAAGGAAAAATTGTTATTTGATACAGGTTTAAAATTATAGATATATCTATAAATAATGATCAGGGGTTTTATAGTAAAAGGATACGTGTGACCGGAGCAACATATAGAAATATCAGAGAGTAGAAAAGATAATGGCAGGAGTCTTCCAGAAGTAATAGTGCTAAAAACTCTCTACTGAGCTGTACTCTTGGCACTCTTTGGTGAAGACGTAAGGCATAGGTTGCAGCATTGCTCATTAAAGCTTTATAATATGCATTATATGGGTTTCTATGAGGAAAAAAATAATTTAAACATTTCGGTGAGAGCTTATTAATAGGATATACTAAAATGAATGTCATACCCAAATGTGGATAATGATAAAAGATAGCTCAAAGTAAATAACATGGTAAAAACTCTCGTTGTCCACAATCCAACTTGAATTTTATTTTCGATAATGTGTTCCTTCAGTGCTTTCCATCCTCTCTCTGTTTGTGGTTGAGAGTGTTCAGATTGTGTTGGTGTTACGTTTTCTGCCATGATGAATATAATCTCTATAATTAATATAACAATAAGATATGAAATACATCAATTGCAATATAATGCAGCCAGTATTAAATCATTGTGCGGTCTTTATAACTTTTATTAACTAAGTATCGTTCTACAATAATTCAATCACAAGCAGTATAAACATCAAGTACAAATAGAGTCTTGTTCACAATAGTAAGATAAAAAAGCAACTGGTGATCTTACCCGATAGTAAGAAAAAATATCAATCTTTCTATAATACTTTTAATGTACAGTTACAATCATTATCCTGCTCTCTTAGCCTAGTTTTGCAAAGTAAAAGTTGATGCTGTTATTTAACGTCTTTAAAACTATCTCTTTACGATCTATTATTTTTGAAAATTAAATTATACTCACATTACTCTAACTTCTACTTTTATACAACAGTCAGCTATTCTCAATTACTCGCAAATTATTAACACAGCATAAACGAACCACACACATCAATTCGTCCAGCACGCCTGTGTATAATTCCAAAGAGTCTCGAGACTCCGTAAATGATAATCAACCTACGACGGTGGCGCTGCAGTGATAAAAAATATAACAATTTCACAATATATTCTGCAGGTCGATAACGCAGAATTCTTACGAATGACGCAACGTACCATCGTCCCTGACTCTATTCTAGCGGTTTACTTGAAACCGCAAGTCGACCAAAGTATCCTTGAAAACTTTGATAATATCTATTTCATATATCGTTAGCAACATCGGCTACTTGCAGATATTCTTTTTTTTTTTCTAGAAAAAACATTGATTCTCTGAACGTATGAAGCGCTTAATTAAACACTTTCGTCATACGTAATTAAACATCACATCAGATAAACGTTTATGGACTGATTAGAACGATGTGAATCATTTAGTATGACAACGTCAATTTTAGTATTATAAATTCTATTCTCCAGCACGATACCCAACGACTTCCTGATACTTGTGATAATGAATCTCGACCTTAAAATTGTAACATAATAAAGCTTAATCACAAATCTTAGTAAGCTGACCAACTGGCATAATAAATAATTATTCTCGTCGAGCAATCCCAAGGAGGAACCTCCAATTAATTATTTGTACAACGTATTATAGATTTCCGCTCGTTTAATGTTCGTGATGCCATTATCACGTAGTTGCTCTTTTGAACAAATATTACGCGCTGTCTATTTTTAATGATAACGTTCCTCTAAGTCACATGATTGCAGTGTAACATTTGATATTTACATAAGTAAATACGCATGCTATATCTGTTAACAGGTCGGTGCACGCGTTTACGAGCGAAGCTTAATCGGACTTGAAACGCATCATACATCCACCGGGATGTAGCTCATTAAATAAATTATTTACAATAAATAAAAGATCACTCATTTATATAATAACATCGAATGCAAGGATCTATAATTTTATTTTCGTCATATGATCGGAACCTCTTGACTGATCGGACGATAAAGTTATCGCACTTTTAACAATTATTTAGTCTCTCGTTTTTTATCGCGTAATATTAATAAGTCCAACCAATCTAGCATTTAATAAAGAAATCATTTGAAGGGTGATTCTGAGTATTTAGCGTAAAAGATTATATACCTCGTATCGTCGTGAGGAAAGGGAACTCGCATAGGAGTGGGGATCGACAAAGACTTCGGATTGGTACAGAAGGCCGATCCATTTGACGCGACGCCGCGACGTCTCTACTCAGCGGTTCCGGAACGATTCATCGACGCGAGTAGTCCGACAGTGTCGCAACGATGTTCAGTGATTAAGTAAGCGTATTCGGATCATCTGTAAATCAACATCCTCGTGCTCTGATCGTCACGGTCTTTAAGATCTCACGTGGACGTAGTTCTCTTTGGTACCGTTGATCGGTAGGGCAGTTTTCAATAGTGCATCGATTACAGAATCAGCTGTGTAGCTTGGTGCATCGTTGTCTCTGCCCCTCTTACCTCCTGCAGCGGATCTACTTGTCACTTATATAGGATCAAGAGGACAGCAAGGAGCATACAAAGCATGGTGAAGTCCCGTTGTTGACAGGATTGGACTGTGGGGAGTTGTTTGTACCTTCTATAGTTTGGTATAGTGATCCTTATCGTAGACCCTGGAGTATTTCTGCCAATGCGTCAAGCTACTGTAAGGAAATCAGTATACTGCTGCAGGCACTATATTTTTCCAACGACATCTCACGTCTTGGTTTTTACTGCAAAAGAGGTTTTCCTGAACTGTCGGAATCAACCAGAAATATGAAATTGAGATAACTGAGTTGAACTTTACGATAATCGTAGAACGAGGCTGAAAATCCTATCAATACTCAAGATAATATCAATAACGAATGATTTTACGAGTATCTAAAACATCGCTTTAATGCTGGTGGAATAGAAATCGTTGATCCCATCCATCGGTCTAAAGAATAGTTTTGGTTTGTTCTTTGTCTGAGATACGAAAAACGTGTCAGTGGTACACACGTATTACATTGATTTTTAAACCCATGAATAGTGTGTTTGTCCTATTTATCGTGAAATATCGTGAGCTTGTATTCCTTTAAACAATTTCATTAACCGAGTCTTTTATTATCCGTTATTTACGCGAACGCATACTTGTTTTTCGTGAAATTCAGTGCAGTGTCATCTGATGGTGTTCTTTTTTAACGTTGATTTCATCTACAAATTTAAAGGCTGTCTATGTTGGATCAAGAGCGTGAAAGTTATCGTCCTCGATCATTACTCCTAACTCTGGACTTTTTTTACAACTATTTGAAGATTGCCAAAAAGAGAACGGATCGGGCTCAACAACGAATCAACACGTCGAGCTCATATTCGTCGACGCCATTGTTAAAATACATACACGTTTTGCAAACACTTAACAGCATAATAGGAATTACGCAAGATCAAAGATACCTAGCGTTTTTTTAAACGATTCGGCTCATCGGCCTTGAAAGGTCGTACTTTTTTTCTCTTGCAAAACACGGACAAGCCATATACCTCATCTCTAGTTTCTTTCACTTGCAGCAGTATTCATTTAGGGAGAAAAGAATGTTTCCCCCTGATTCCTAGCAGCGTTACGCTCTATCTTGGCCTCTTCCTCTTCCTTGTGTTTCGTCGGTTAAGTCTGCTACGAGATGACAGTCACCTACACGGCCGAGGTTGCCACCTGTCGAGGATTGGGCTGTTTCCTCAAATTATTGCTCAGGTGAGAATAAATCAAAGTTTGGATTTATAAAAATCTCAGATCTCAAGATCTGCATCGTTGTGCGACATATTTCATACGTCTCTAAAAGAAAATGAAAATATATTAATTTAATCAATTTTATCGCAAATTGCGCGACTATATTTGACTGCACGCAGCCTTGTTTCTTTTAATAAATATCGCATCACAAAACTATGAAGGGAATCAGAAGCATGATTCACGTAAGAGGTTCCTGAGTATGCGTACGCAGACCTAGACGTTTCTGATCCTTGCCAACTTTTGCAAGTTCAACCATCTACATAGTCACAAGTAAATAGAGCACGCGTCCACAGAAACTATTCTCGTGTCTAGGTACAGTCTGCTTTTTTTTCAAACTCCTAAAACTGCTTATTCAGTACAATTCGGGCAAGCCTTCGTTTGACAAGTGTGTCAAAGCAATGAAAAGGTTCAGCGGCCCTAAATCCTGAAAGGATTTCACACTGCGCACCTTGGTCCTATAATTACTTTGTATTGTAATAAAATCTATAGAACAGACCGTATATATCCGCAAAACATGCGCCATATTCATAATGCGGTATCCGAGTAAACACGCGTTTCCGTTCACCTTAGCTTTGAAGGAAAATTATTAACTTTCCTCGTTTTAGTTAAATGACTCCATTTTAAACTAGATTACAGCGGCCTTGAAAACTTGGGAAGTCATTATAATATGGAAATAAAAACGCATTTGCATGAAAATACCTCACAAGGAAGAACAATTCAATAATCACAGCGATAGTCTCAGTCACTTTGCATTTGTTAGTCTATTGTGAATTTCTGTTTAAATTATAACACGCGTCGCTGAAGTGTTGCACGAGCTGGTTCATGACGTGGTTTCTACGGTATCGTTTATATTATTCATAATTACGCCTAGGCGGTAACACAAGGTCCGCTTCTAGAAACACCTCGGCGACGTTCCTGTCGTTTTCACGCCTGCTGAAGGAGGTCATCGTAACGAATGTGCGGATGATATTGAGACTTATCGATATATACAAGTTGACCTTACTCATCGGACGGCGCTCTTTATTCTTCTCTATGCGCAATATCTTTCTTCCGGTGGCTTCGAAATTCCATACTACCATAGCCCCATGCTTCTTCAATGACCTCAGTGGTGGAAATATTTTTTGAATGGCTTTCAGATGGCGCGCCAGTATATACAAGCTTGTATGGCTCGATCTGGCACTTTTTCTCTTCATCTACTATGCCCTGTCGACCGTCTATCAACTCCTGCTGAATGCAGAGCAGAAAAAGACCTTTGAAGCTGTGGTAGCATATTGCAATGAATATAGGGAACTTATACCACTCTCATTTGTTTTGGGATTCTACGTTAGCATCGTTATGACAAGATGGTGGAATCAGTACATGGTGATACCCTGGCCGGATTCCATTGCAGTTTTTGTTTCTGCTACTATACATGGAAACGATGAAAGAGCGAGGCTCATGCGACGAACCATTGTTAGGTACGTTGTTGATGAATTATTGTGGATTATATTATGTGATATTGATAGCAGATAATCCTCTGTTGATAACATGATTATTTTGATTATATCAGTAAATATTTTTTACAGGTATGTCTGCATTTGTCTCACGCTTGTTCTAAGCAATATCTCACCTCGGGTCAAGAAACGTTTTCCTACTCTGGATCACTTTGTTGAGGCTGGCTTGTTGCTGGACAATGAACTTTTGATCTTTCAAAGTCTCAACGCAAAGTTTCCTAAGCCTAGCAAACATTGGCTTCCAATTGTCTGGGCTTCGAGTATCGTGACGCGTGCCAGGAAGGAAGGTCGTATCCGTGATGACTTTGCTGTGAAGACGCTGATCGATGAACTTAATAAATTTCGAGGACTTTGTGGAAGACTCATTCATTATGACACGATCAGTGTACCTTTAGTTTACACTCAAGTCGTTACTTTAGCTGTGTATACATACTTTTTGACAAGTGTCATGGGTAGACAATGGACAGAGACCACCTCCAAGTCTACAATTGATCTTTATTTTCCTGTCTTCACGACCTTGCAATTTTTCTTCTACATGGGCTGGCTCAAGGTAGCCGAGACTCTTATTAATCCATTTGGAGAAGACGATGATGACTTTGAAGTGAACTGGATCATTGACAGAAACTTGCAAGTAAGTTGACGTCTGTCCGTTTACTGGGTAACATGAAAGAATGTAATAATCCTTAAATATTTATATTTTCAAGGTGAGCTACCTTATTGTTGACGAGATGCATCACGATCATCCTGAACTGATTCGTGATCAATACTGGGACGAGATATTCCCTATGGAGTTACCGTACACGGCTGCAGCACAGCCATTCCGCGAGGAACATCCTCAACCGTCTACAGCTGGAATTCAGTTGTCAGCGGCACAACAGGAACTTCAGCCATCAGCTGTTCGAATAGATGATTTAGCTCCTGATTATCATCAAAAGTTTAATAACGAAATTGCCGAAGACGCTGCGTCGGGTATTCATTTTATAGCGGGTGGTAAAATATCTAGGTATGTATTGCAATTATCATGTAAAATAACCCAGGTTACTTATGGAAATTTTATTTCTTCCCATTAGGAGTGCCAGCAGAGTAAGCACCAGAGATAGAACGCTAAGTGGCGGCTCGACACCAAGCAATATAGGAGGGTCCCTGACAAGAGTAAACAGCGTAACGAGTGTTCTTCGCAGATTGTTCAGTAAAGAAGATAGACCAGACGGAAACAGCGCTCCCGGTAGTGGAACTAAAACACCAGCGAGGTTGCCTAATTCTAGCTCAGCGGCATCCTTGCAAACGAGATTCCCTGGTAGATTTTTCGAATACCTTTTAGATATTTTACGGCATTCGTCCATATATTAATAACTGCGGCATATCACATATCTATTAATTTTTATAGGCGGCGGCGGATCGATGAGAATAGGAGTAATCGAGGAAGTTGACGAGCAGATGACGATGACGTCAATGAGGCCGGAAACTCGTCCCCATGTACAAAGCATATTCCCTCAAGGTCCTCCACCAGCCAGTGCTCCAGTCGACGTCCCGGGAACGATCTCGCACTCTAACAAAAATGGCGAGCTTCTCTCCAGTAGCGCACCAGCAGCCGCAACAGCAGCGCGATCACTCGCAGCCAGGTCTGATAAGCAATTCCAACGTCGTTATCCGTTTCGCGCTTTCTCCTTCGATGTGCCATACACTACACTTGCTTCTTGTCGTCCCAGTCAATTGCCAGCACCCGAAGAACAACCATTATTGTCCCCTGCGACATCTTTCAGGGTGCAACGGCCGACGCAATCGGCGCGCTCCAGCGCAGCCTTCGACCCTGGTCCACGATATAGTAGCGGCGGCGTCAATGATACCGACAATATCAGTATACGGAGCTCGGCTTCCTCAGGAAGTTCGGACGACGAATTTTCCAAGCTCAAGACAGAGAGGGAGAAGCAGCGAAAGGATCGAGCTATGAAGTTGCTCGCAAGGAGCGTCAGCGCTCAAACCCACGTTAGTGGGCACAGTGGAAGTGGTGGTGCGTTACTCGATGCTGCAGACTCTGAAACTCTTCTTTCTGAACTTGCAAATACGTCGCGACTTTCTCTACGATTACCAGATCATGACGATAGGGAAAATGATAGCGATCATGTATAACTCATGACCACTTTAGGTGAAATTTTAGCGACTTCCTGTCAAACGGTACTTACTGTGCACCTTTCAGAAATAATATTTCGTTATTACGAAATATCATTCACGCGATCGTTAATCTAATATCTAAGTAGGTTACGCGTTATATGGAACTAACGCAAGAGTTACTCGCGATAGTCATGCTCTTTATATACAAATAAGAGTCAATGTTTTTGTACGATACTTTACTAAGGTCACCGTTAAGAACTTAGCAATAATTTTGTTATTGCGTAAAATTAGAAGGAAAGGATATACCGTTATTATTCTAGCTACATTGAAGACATCATTTACGTCTTAGAAAGAATATACTGATCGGATCAACGAAAGCAAATGATTCTCAAATTCGCTTTATGAAACTTTGAAAGGTATTAACTGCCTTAAATCATCAAGTGCCTCTAATATTCAGGTTTGACTTTAACGTTTAGATTTGCCACTCGTGTTTTGCGAGTAGAAATTTCATATTCATGTTATCCACTTGTCACAGCTTACGAATGTATAATGTACATTCCGACGTTTAAGATAACTTTTCATACTTTTTCGTCTCAAATTTCTCATTACCACACGCAAATTTTAATTATACGAGACTGCCTATATACTCTCGATATATTTAATCGGTGGAAGGTCTAGATTGTGCTACCCGATCCGTAGTAATTTCAAGAGCATCGCGACGCTCTGCTACTAAGAGACCAATGACGCTTGTGTACATTTAATAATGGCGTTCGATATTTATTGATCTACTTATTGCTCACTAGCGGTCAAAAACTATAATGCCATAGTGCTGCTTGCACAATAAGAGATGGAACGGATAACGAAATAGTATACACGTGTAAACGATAATAAAGAACATTCCAAGGATTGTATAATTAATGGTGCTAGACTTGCGTGAAATTATCGCGTGAAAGTACTTGTTTTACCAGTATTATTGTTATAATAAATTATTACCGTTTTAATGAGTGTTTATTAGAAAAACCTTGTCCTGCGCAATGCCGCTATTGACTAAAGGTCATGCTCAGTATTTTTAATCCACTGCGGACCTGTATATGCTAAGGAAAATTTGTAATACTTACCTAAACTTTAATACTTGAACGAATCGATCGTTATTGCAAAAATCCTTGTACGTGTGCAAATGCTTCAGCTTCAGATCTGAATACTTTTTGGTAAAAAAGACTATATACTCAGGATGCGATGTATCCACTTCTATGAAGAGGCTACCGTCAGTCTTTAGTGCTTTTGCTGCATACCGTAATAGAGGTTTTATAACATCTAAACCATCACTACCGCCATCCAATGCTCTAAGATCTTCATAACTGAAATAACAAGGGTTTATGCAATCTCGAAAAGTGAAAAGAGGCTCTACAGAGAAATTAGAGAATTTACATTTTTATCTCAGGTGCGAGTTCAGATAACTTTGATGTTGGTACATATGGTGGATTGCTGACTATGAAATCAAATTCTTCTCTATTAAATTCAATCTTATTTTCTGTGTCATCAAGAATTTTTATAATACCATCCTTTTCCAACGCAGCATTAATAATTGTCAGTCTATCGTCTAAGCCTAAATTTTTACAATTGCTTCTGGTCAAATTACAGGCATGTTTGTTTACGTCGATCGCAACAGATTGTACCTGAAGAAATGTACAAATTATTTAAAGTACATATCTTCTTATACATTTACTAATGGATTATTCAAATTAACAAAAGCACAATACTTTGTCAGAAGAATGAGCAAGGGCCAAGGAAATGGCACCAGAGCCACAGCCAATTTCTAAAATTCTACATTTCTCCTGCTGTGTCGATGACAATTGTTTCAATACAATGTCAACAAGAATCTCTGTTTCTGGCCTTGGTATAAATACAGGCGGTATAAGATTCAAAGTAATGTCTCTGAAATCCCATTCCCCAATAATATATTGTACCGGCATTCTGAAAACGATAATCCGATAAAGTATATTACTATAACCCAACTTACAAATATAATTGCTCAATTTACCTAGACAATCTACACTGGCATAACATTTCCAATTTCTCAACCTCCTCTTTGGTCAGTTCCCTCTCCCGCATATTAACTAAATCCAATATCTGTGAAACGAATTCAATTGACAGACGCAAACGAAAATTCAGCCATGACGTACTTCCGCCAGTGACATTCCGCAGTGAACAGAGAATCGCCATGACCTATCATTCAGAAAGTTTCTCAAAAATTAATTTCTATACCTTCTTAGTACCCATAACATGAGCAACGATATGTTCAATAGATTCAACCGGTTCTGAAATTCCATCATTTTCAAAATTTCGACTCCAATGATCCAATAAATGACCGATAGTACGATTATGAACACTGCTGCTCCTACAGAAGTTCTTCACTCTCGCCGCAGGCATAATATTCACTCTCAGGTAATTATACGCACATCCTGATAAAGCAGCTCGACAACGAGACCGTAAAATAAACGATAGAGGTATCATGGTGATACTCTAAAAGATTATTATTAACAAATTAAATTACGTCAACAGAAAATTGTCTTCACGGTGGAAAATGAAAATACGCAGAACACGCAGAACAGCGCAGTCAATCATTTCTCACAGCCGCAGCAGTGTGGCGCTGTGCATGACGCAGTCGCAGAATGTCAAGATATAAAAATATAAGTTACGTACAGTCGGTTCACAAGCAAATTAGCTCTAGCGATAGATAAAAAAAAATACAAAACTTCGGGACTAGTTCCTAGCACAAAGCACGTGTTCCTATCTCTCTCTGAGTTATTTTACTCATGGATCGACTATATATAATTGTAGGAGGAACAGCAAATCGTTAGATCTATAGTAAAGAGCTTCCGGTAGCAGCATTGACGCAAGTGCCTTTACCAGTGTTTACTAAATTAATTGTATCGTTAAGAAGTTTCTTAATTAGTTTACTGCTAGTATCAATGGGTTGGTTATTGCCTATCTGAACATGGTTCGGACATGGGAATTAATAGAAATCAAACGAATAGAGCCATCTTCAGATGATTGCAATATTTCTGAGTACCTGCATATATTACATACTATAGATATGCTGCTACTACATACTGCTTCGAAAAAATGTAAGTACTTTTTGTGTAACGAAAATTCACTGAGTGATCAAAAATTTTTTTTTACTTTTTGGCGCAATCCAATTTGCTAGGGATTCCACTTTCTGGATAAACATCCACTGAAAGAGACACGTGTCATACCGACGAATCAGAACGCTATACAAAAGGCATATGAATTTACAGAAAGAAGCGTTTATTTATCAATACTATCTGATAATCATATTGATAAATCTACAATTGTTTGGACTTTTTTACGTAACATTTTGGGCTGCTGCGTAATCAGTTTACGAGGAAAGTTTGAGACGCACGCGTCGATAATATATTGAGGACATTCTGTAATTCACTACCAGCGCCGCAAGCACTGTGGCAGTATAGTACTTGTATGTATTATTGCATATACATATACACAGAGAGAGCGGAGAAAGCAGAGAAGGTTTAGAAAGATAAGTAGGTCTTGGAATGTCGTGAAGGAGGAGAAAAAATACAGTATTCGAATGGTGGAATGTATAAATGAACGAGTAGCCGGGCAAAGAAGGACGAAGAAAGCGAACTAGAAGAAGGGAGAAAAAACGAGGAGTAGGATTTACTGAGTTTTGAGGCTCTCGATTATTTAGTTGAGCAAGAGGCTTCCGTTTGTTCGGTCGATTGATGCTTCAACGGTCGTATACGAACAGAATTGCGTACCTAGGACGGCGAAAGATTAAAAACATGTTGTTACTTTTTGGTTCGACTTGTGCGCTCGTTGCTGGCATCCTCATATATACAAAATCCCGAAAAAATTGGCCGCTGGTTTTCCATGAGATTCTCTATGAGATCAAATACAATGTTCTTGGATCCAAAGGACTTATTATTGACAGACTGGAAGCGCGTTACAACAAGACTGGTAAGACTTTAAGTATACTTTTTCTTAATTGCTTGTTTTTTCTTACTAATTTAAGGCACTTTCACTTACGTACGTGTTTGCATCTATACTTTACGTTGCCGCCGAGACTTTAAATTTGGACAACGCATATACTAAAAATGATACGACCTACAAAACTTAATTGAATTTTCAAGTATGCATGCACGCATTTTTGTCACTGCCTTGTGATCCAGCAATGGACTAAAAGTTTTGATTAAGGTTGATTCAGAGTTTAAACTGATTAAAACTTATGGATCTTCGAAATATCTTATGTAATTGACAATTGACTAAAAGCCAATTTGTTTTAGCGTCTATAACGTATCTATATACGTCAAATTTCATTGACTGCTTGAAGCATGATCGTGTTGTATAAATATAATTCGAATTTCAGATATGCCAAGAAAGACTGGTAAAATTGCCATTGTTACTGGAGGATCACGGGGAATTGGTGCAACCGTTGTAAAAATGTTACTACAATGTGACATGGAAGTAATTATTGGTGCGTTGTCAACTTGTAAATTGATCGATAATTAAATGACTAAACTATAAATTATTTAAATACATTTTCAGCTTGTCGAGCACCTGCAGCGGGTGAAAAGGCGATTAGAGAAATTCGAAAATCTGGCGTTAATGATGGAATTGCAAAGGTTTACGAGTTGGATAATGCGGATTTGAATTCCGTGCGCAGATTCGCAGACTGTATCAAGAGAGATTACAGCCGAATCGACGTACTTGTAAATAATGGTAATAAACATAAGTTTTTTTTACATTCTTCTATAATTATTTGACTTATCTCTAAATACATTTAGTCATTTAATTCTCTTATAGCTGGGATCATGTTTACACCTTATGCTGAAACAAAGGATGGCTTCGAGCAACAATGGGCGATCAATTACTTGTCACATTTCTTATTGACATCGTTATTGTTACCTTTATTAAAAAATGGCGGTTCACCATCGGAATGCGCCAGAGTTGTTAACGTATCGTCGTGCGCTCACCTTGTGGGCATCATCAATTTCGAGAACATCAATTACAAGTAACGAATCAATACGGTCAAAGAAGTACAAAATGAAAAATTAATAGAAACGCATTTCGAAATGACTTGTCGCAAATATTCTTTGAAAAATATTCTATCTAGAAATAAAAGCACTGCTGCATTTTCTCTTCGGGCTTCAACTTATCTAATGCTATATTATTTTTATCATTACTATTTTATTTAGAACAATTCCTCAAAGCAATGAGATTTTAATCTTCATTTCGTTATTTTTCTTTATTCTATGACAGGGAACAGTTCATCACATCCGCCGCTTATGCTCAGAGTAAATTGGCTCAGGTGATGTTCACAAAATCGCTTCAACAACTTTTTACCGAGAAACAACTACACATTAAAACTTATGCCGTCCATCCTGGAATAGTTAATACCGATCTGTTCAATGACACTCTCCTAAGCAAGTATTTCAAATGGTTGCTGCCTCTAATATTTAAGGTAAATCGCATGACATATTTCTCCAAATCTTTTCATGCTCCGAATGTTTAGTAGCTAATCATTACCAAATATTATTAATTTGTTACAGACTCCTACCGAAGGAGCAACACCAATCGTTTATGCAGCTGTAAGTAAATCTGTCGAAGAAAGAGGTGGAATCTATATAAGTAATTGCAAGGAAAGTCCTGTAAATCCATTAGTCTCAGATGCATCAATTTTAGATCGTCTCTTTGAACTCTCCTTAAAACAAGTCAGGTTAAATGACTTTTTTCAAGAGTTATAAATGTCTTTTGTAGTGGCGTCATCAAAATTGAAACTGCTGACTGTATTTATTTCCATTAAAGTATTTCATTACTGCTCTTATGAATGGTAGAGCATATTGTTAGGTCAGCAATTCTATGGCAGGCATACCGTGTAAAGCAGTCTGTGTTAACTATATTTGTCTTGCTACATTTTGTAAAAATAAATACTATGATAGATAATTAATAGTTAAAGTAATTCATTGCACTCCAGGTTCTCATAATAACACTGAATCAATTTCACTGATAAGCAAAGTATAAAGATTGCTCTCCTCAGTATATTTATTTGAGTTACGTGAAATGCTTATAAGGGAATTGACAAAAATATACATTAATGTCACAGAGAAAAATATTACATATCTCACATTGGTGGTAATGTAACGACACAAAGGAATACTCCAATTGTTGTATTAGTTGCTTATACGATTCTATCTAAACCGTAACATGGAATCATAGCACATTGTTACATTTCAAGGCCTTGAAAAATTTCAGTAAACAAAGATGTTTATGCATAGAAGTACAAATTAAATGTCATAAGTTACTATTACGGTTTTGTTTTATTGTGTTTAAGATAATTAGAAAATGGGTGATGAGAACACTGAGTGAACTATCAACCAAATGAATGAAGTATCCTATTTGAGATAAACAAAGGTAGCCATATTACGTAGGGCTAATATAAAAGCAACAAAGGTTTGGTGTGATATAATTGTTTGCTATATTTGTAGCCGTGATCTTAATAAATTTTCAAATTGTAACTAAATCTTTCTTTCTAATAATAAAGAAATTCAATTGTCTACTAAATGGATATAGATATCCACTGGTTCACTAATTTTTATTTTACTAATTAAATAGCAGTCCTCAACACGAGTTCCATTGTATGCTAATAACGGTATACTACTCCGTGCATTAATAATCGTACAAATTAGTACTACATTATACGCGTAGCATACATTGTAAAACTGAACGGTAGTATTCTGCAAAATAAAGATGAGTCAATTGATCACAGAGAGTTGCTATTAAATTAGCTGGGGCAAAGCTAGGGGATGGACCATTTACAATAAACTGATATGTATTTGAGATTTTGGGGAGTTACAGAAAAAAGCGCTGATAAAAAAGTTAATAGGTAATCTATGTAATCTGGATAATATTTTGTTCATTCCAGGTTTCACATATTATCTAATAAACTACACGGTGTATTTGATATCTGGCTTGTACGTAGATATCATAATGAAGTTAATGTTTTAATTGGGAACAATCAAAACCTGATGCCGCATGTTACATTCGTTAATACTATTAACGTGTACCAATTAAAATTGTAGCACCAAATTCCTATACGACAAAAGTTCCATTCAATGAACTTTTACGAGGAAGGTACGAGAAGTGTCATGAATATTGATATCACCGCGCGTATTCGCTATTTCCTTAATGTCTTTACGCTTTCTTTAATTGATGAACGATATTTAAAAATTAGCAATCTCTATCAGTAATTGCACAAAACCAAATAGACAATTAGCTACAGCGATGCGTTAATAATATATTATTCGGTCTTAATTGACTACAGTATGTCGAGTTATGCGACCTTCTCTTCACTTTGTAATTCGTTACTTTGATTGTTAATTAAGAAATCTTAATCTAGAGTACCTATCGTTCGATTTACGTGATGGATTACAGTAATTAACAGAGGTCCGTTTAATGAAAGTAAAAACTATTAACGACACAGCAATTTAATTACTAATTTAATGCAAAAGCAAGAGTAGTCAACTTATTTCTTCATAATCATTGTTGAACCTACGGTGAAACTTAAGGTGTTTTTAATCAACATATCGTTTCAGAAAGAAAAAAGAAAATTAATGAGACTAGAGTAGCGCACTGAGTATCGAAAAAAGAATGTCGACAATGGTCGTGTAATAAAAGAACTGATGTATCCTAATTAATTAAGACAATTAATTACAATTATATTACAATATTAAAAAGTATTAAAACGAATCGAATCAACGTATGATTAAAATGGTTTTAAACATAACGGGTTCTCGGTGCTGTATTCTCTATATATATTTACAAATACAAAAGCTGCTGCGTGAGTTTGCGCAACAAAATAAAATTTAGGATTTAACAAGAGCACGTACTTAACGTCACGAGCTTATTTCACAACAATTGCAAGAGCGCACAACAATTGTTATGATTGACAGGTATTACAAAATCATTTTTGCATCAACAATTCGAAGAGCTTCAAACGATTATGCTCACTTTGCATCGCGTTATAAAACCGTGTGATGCTTCATTATATTGCACTGATCAGACGCTTCCAATGCAGACTAGGCTTTTTCACAATGTTTGGTCAAAATTTAGGTATCAGCATAGATATTTTCGATCAATTAGTCGAGAGATAAGGCCTGTTTGTACTTTTGAAGTGAAATACTCAAAATATTTCATCCAGTATAAACGTAGAAAAAATTATTAATGTATTTGGATCAGAATTTTTTAAAGTTCACGAGAACTTCTTCCATCATGGAATGAGCCTCAACTGCATCAGAATCGATATAGATCGTTTGTTTCAAACAATAAATAATAATCTATGAACAAACATTTAATAACATATTCCAAGTCCGATGGAGGCTGCTTGCTCTTCTCCTAATGATACACCGTATGGTATTAATAACGTCAAATAAATTTAAAAATTGCATGCATGGTAAAAAGAAATAAAGTTAAGAAAGGCGGCTGCAGCTGCTACAATTGCTGCCATCACCGATTGACGTTGTTTTTCCATTTATCGAGGTTGCGTTCGTTTCGTACCTGGGTAGCTCCTTGCTACGTGCTTGCTGAAATATTTTACTAGTTTCCTGTACAATGATCACAAAAACTTTCTTATTTTTTGAAGTCGGCTTACCTCCATAAGTTCAGCAGCTATTTCCATGAAAAGCCGCTCAACATTTTCAGCTTCCTTTGCTGATGTCTCAAGGAAATACATGCCATGTCTCTGGGCAAAATCTTCACCAACGTGAGTTGGTATTTCTCTATCATCTCGGTCTATTTTATTTCCTATATTTAACAGTAATGATAAAAACACACAGTGGTTTACTTATTGAGTAGAATTACTCCATATAACATATGCTGCATGCTGATGTATATTCTTTGTTTCACTATATATAGAAACTAAACTATTCAAGTAATCAACCTACCAACTAATATCCTTAGGACTTTATTGCTTGCATACTCTTCAATTTCTCTTAACCATTCTGGCAGGCAATCAAACGTTGGCTGACAAGAAATATCATATACTAAAATTAAAGCATGAGCTGATCTGTAATAACTTTGTGTTATTGACCGAAATCTTTCCTGGCCAGCAGTATCCCAAATTTGCAGCTGAAAAGATGGAAACAAGCATATATTATTCTAGAAATAAACCTGAATGAAAATTTCAATGAATTATGCAAGAATGTATCATACAAAGAGAAAGTCAAGGAAGTGATAGAGCTTAGTATAAAGATTTATTACAACCATTTCCTAGAAAGTTAAGTTAATGAGCATAACATTTAGGTAATATTAAACAATTCGAAGTACAAACCTTAACTTTCTCATTTTCCACTTCCACAGTTTTAATCATAAAATCAACTCCAATAGTTGCTCCTTGACCCGGTGGGAACAATCCCTGAAAATACAAAAAACTAGAACTACAAATAGAAGAATGAGAGTTATGAATATTTTATAAGATCTCCATATATGAAATATCTTGGATGATTCACTTTTACAATAACAATAACAAGTTATTAAGAAACAGGATTAAGAACTAAATCATTGAGTTATATTATATTTCAGTTTAAAAAAACATTGTCAAAAGTATCCTGTAATCTGTTAATCTCACTGATATATCAAAACATTAAAAGTGTCTCTCGTTTCTCACCTGTGTAAATCGGCGAACGAGACATGTCTTACCGACACCGGCGTTGCCCACAAGAACGACTTTAAAGAGGAACTTGTAGTCTTCCATTGCATTTGTCTGATTGCGATCAAAAGTGTCAAAGAGACGATTCTAATACTTCATTTAAAAGCACGGTACACGCACTTTCCACAGTCCCTTACCTTGAGTCTAGCGGTTAGCCCGAAAATTACAACACTTTCTTCCTCGCCGCGGCTCTCGCGACACTTTTTTTTTTTATTTCACAAGACTCCACACGAACTCAAACATATTTTCTATCGATTCTGTTTCCCTTTAAAGGTAATTTATCTTTTTGATAGTTTTCACGATATATGCTTCCGTATACGTTAATATTTTACACTCAAACATCCCGTCCGTCTGTCACTACAATGTTTCACTACCGAACTGTTGTTCACATGTAGTTTCCAAAGCGAATCGCAGGCATTTCGCAAGTGAACTATCGAAATATTACATTCCCTTAGATCACGATTGGTTACTTCTCTTGGAGATGACGTAATTCTCGCGGGAGCGACAATATGATTATCTCTATTTGGAGCAAATCAAGATAAAGACTATGAAAACATCGTTTATTTTTAATGGACGACAATAGGAAAACTCATTTACTCAAAATACGAAGCTTATCAACGATTTGCTTCTAGAATAATATTATTTTATTATTTTATTTAATTTTACAGTTGTAAAATTGAAAGTTTCGTTGTTTCATGTAAATCATCCTGAATATTGCTATGGTGGCGCCATATGGGTGGGAAGGTAGGGAACTAATGTTGTACGCAGCAACATTGTGGGAGTCCAACGGCTGTAGTAACGGACGCTTTCATTGGCTGTTACATGAGGTGAGAAGAGCATGACGATTCCATCAGCCAATCACTGACTTCGTTTCTCATTTGAGAATCTCCGTCCCGTTATAAGCTACAAAGGCATGGTTGGGTATGGTAGCCATTTTACGCGAGTCCCTCGTTCCGTCTGAGCAGTAGTGCGTGTGTAGTCTTGCGGAGAATAGAGTTTAATCGTGTACCGGAATGTTCTGTGGTTCGAAATGAGTGAATAAGGTAATTTTCTTAAACATTTGGAATAACGTGAAGCGTACTCAGGCTCTGTGATATGAAATCTCTACATACGTATTTTGTAAAACAGTACTCGACGGGCGTTGGGTAAAACCAGCTGCGTGATAGCTTCCCGTGATTACGTTGATATATTTCTGTCGACTTCCGAAAGTGACTGACTCACTGTTGTGCACACTTATTATATTCATTAAATTTATCTAACAGCAGCATCTTGGCTCCAAATATTGGACGAAGAGAGCCGGACCGCTTTTCGGCACTTGAAAAGATTGCTCGCGCAACCACTTTCCTCTAATATTATGTAAATACTGAAATGTGCCGATGTCCGACACTAAATATCATATATAATGCTTAAGGTCTCGTGTAAACGTGTTACTAAGGATACTTGAGATTTTCTAAACATTGTGTTGGACCAAGTCTACTCTTTTTCTTGTAATCTTAAGAGTTCCCCTCCAACTAGGCTCCAAAAAAGCTACCGTTTATAAACACCATTCACCAACGATACAATCTCCTATTAAGATTCTAATTTCTGTTTTGGAATACTTACTCTGATATTCAATATTTAATAATGAAGTTGATTACTTTTTTATTTCAATGTAATTAATACATATGTGGAATTATAATACTGTAGCATCTTAATCCCAGAGTCTAACACGCTAATTCAAATAGTCAAGTTTATTTATGTTTATATACAATACCGTCATTTAACTATATTTTTATTTTTTTTAATTTCACAAAACATATACAATCGCCAGTAAGGATTCCCAGCTGGTTCTTCCTCTTCTGTCACCTACTTGATGCTAACAACAAGAATATATAAAGTAACGAGAGCGCAATTACTTTTTCTGCTTCAGTGTTTAGTGTTCCTGTCAGGTTGACACGGACCCACTACATTAACCTATCATCCCACATCACAACGTCGAGATGACGTCGGCGAAGTCCAAGGAGATAGCTGACGAGTATATCTCGTCGCTGTCTGACTTGACGATCAACAGCAAGCCGCTCATTAACATGCTCACAATGTTAGCAGAGGACAACGTCGAACATGCTCCTGCGATTGTCCAAGCCGTCGAGACCCACCTGCAAAAGGTTACCTATCATTTGTAGTTATAAACAAAAACAGAGAACAACAAAAAAAAATAGTAAAAGATGTCTTACGATTCCGGGAAGTCTATTCAATTGACCCGATTTCATGGTGTAAGACATTCACCGTGTCCGTGGTCGTCTCATATCCGGATATTTATTGACATTCTAACCTAGATTCATTAAAATGCACGCGTTCGATTGAACATAGTAAAACCGTGTTGTCATTTTTTGTTTGACAAATTTTCAATAAAATGAACATTAAATGTCACGTATATTTGGATACGTTACGACCGAGGAAGGCTAAGGCTGTCGTTCGTTACAAAGGCTGATCACTTATGTAAAATATAGTAAAAATTTGGTGCACTGCATGTCGTGCAGAAAATAATGAATATTAGTAAACAAACGTATTTTCGTGACGATTTCGAGACAATTATTCACACATATTAACCGCCATTATTGACCGAGAGAAAAGTTTATTTATTATGAACGAGAGTCCCGTTGTTTCCTTGAATAATATCCGCGCTTTGTCAAGTATGTAACTTTTAATCGAATTGTGCAATCGGCATTGAATTTAGTCGGAATTTTGTATGGTGCCGTATTGCATAAAGTTTGAGGAAAAAAATGAAAAGAAAAAATCTAATCTACAAGGAACGACGATCGTTCAGAGAATACTTACTATAGTAAAACGTTAAGTTAGTCACGATTAACAGAGAAGTTTTACAGCTCAGTATATTCGTTAAAGAGATATAAAGTTCTGTCTGTGATAATAATACTCAGTATTATGAATATATCATGATGTTGTGGAAATAAAGTACTGTTTTTACTCCATTGACATCCACACCGCTATCATTTGTTTTTAAACATTCTTTCTGTCTTTTCTCTCTCTCTTTCTCTCTCTATCTCTATCAGCCTATCTACTCGTAATATCTGTTTGTCTATCCACTGTTTCGGCTTCGATGATATTTTCCACATTTTCCATTTTATGGTTAACCTTCGTTCGTATCCTGTATACCTCTTTACCGCAAAAAAAAAAAAAAATAAAAATAATTTAAAAAAATAAAGGAGAAGCTGATGGCGGGAAATTCAAATTTCGTCGATGCTTCCAATGACATTTTACCGTTTGATTCTGGGTGAGGGCGATCTATTGGAAACTGCACTTAATTTTTTGTTATTCCTTCACTTTCACGTTTGTCTCTTAAAACGATTTTGTTAAGTAGACGAAAAATGTATGTATCGGAAATGGGGAATGATCGCATCAATCATTCTGTAATATAAAATAATAATAACGTATCGATCGCACCCGATCGTTTCACGATTGCCTTATTATCATTATACTTCTGATGAATAAAATTGAGAGAGAAAGAGCACGAATCCTTCTTCCGCTTCTTCCGACTTACTTTCACGTACTATCTGGATTAAACGGCTTAGCATTGATGAGAAATGACCAGGCGGAGGCAGTGTTGTGTTACTCTAAATAAGTGAGTGTCGTCATGAAGATTCGTCCAAGAAGTCTGGTACTAATGGGTAACCAGTTATGCGGTGATGGCAGCCAGTAGTACTGAGTGAAGTGAAGCATACCGAATAGTGGGATAGTGTGTTGTTGTGTTTTACTAGGTGAGAAGCGACATCAAGCTACCGGTTCTTTACCTCATCGACTCGATTGTCAAGAACGTTAACGGAGCCTATCTAAACCTCTTCACGCAAAATATTGTCAATACCTTTTGCGGTGTTTTCGAGAAGGTAATACCATTAAAACAATAACAATAGTATCTACGTAGGTTAGACATACGAAACGTAAGACGTTCCGAGTTTTTGTATTCAGACGTACAGATTGTGTCTGTATTTAGAAAGGAAAAAAAAAAGGTAGTACTATAAAAATATACTACCCGGGTAAAATCGATTGTCTCTTTGTACTGTTAATATTTTATACACTGTAAGATAATAGTTTTGTCGATACGGGATCGTTGACTTGGTACTCGGAGTATATGACTTAGCCTACAGGGGACAGTAGAGTGTCGTAGGTCATAATACTTGACAGTTGTAAAGTTTAGTGGCGATCGTAGAGTCTGGAAGTCGTTGGTACGATCCATCGAGGATCGGATGGTACTGTTGTTGTAATATTTGGATCGTGATACAGGTGGACGAGAACACGAGGGCCAGTATGTGGAAATTGCGACAGACTTGGAACGACGTTTTCCCGTCGAAGAAGCTGTTCTCTTTGGACGTGCGAGTGCAAAGTATCGACCCTGCTTGGCCAATCACGGCTTCTCCTACTGCCATATCTTCTGGGTCCATACACGTAAATCCGAGATTTCTGTCAATGGTAAGAGACTTTTTGAAATTGTAGTCAGTGACGTGGCTATTGAAAGGAGAGTTTTGGCCGGATACGCGGGCGCACGGGAAATGGTCGATTTCATGACTAAATATACTTTCAGCCGCAACCAACTACTCCGACGATCGTACCGCCGATTGTACCAGCCGTGAAGCTACCTCCTGGCGATCCTGTGTCGACGACGGAGGCTGCAATGAGGGAGCAACTGCTGAAGAAGCAGCGGGAGTTGTTGGAGTTGCAAAAGAAGAAGATCGAGCTGGAATTGCTTCAAGCGAAAGCCAGCTTGGAACAGCAGCAAAGACAACTGGACAAGCAAGCTGGGACTTTGAAAACGGAAGCGGTACGTACATCGAGCGTGAGCTTGTACGGGATAATTTAATTAATTGCGGATTTTAATGAGTGTGACGTTTCCTTCTTTTCAGGCTTTACCAACAGTGCAGGTTCCGCCATCATTGGAGAATGTACTTCAGGGAAAACCTGTTGCTCCTGTTGTGCCTAGTCAAGCGCCAAAACAGGTCCCTAAACAGGTGAATATTCAAATCTGCATATTAATATGAATGCTTAAGGAGTCATAGGAGACGGGGGAAAGAGTGCAATGTTTTAGAGTCTTTGTAAATGTGGTTACAAGGGTGACGGGTCTGCTTATTTCAGTTTCCGGCTGCAACCGCATCGCTGCTAAAAAACGCCGGGGGAAGTGCGGGCGGTACGCGAATTGCTCCGGCAAGTAGCATAGCCGTAGCATCGGCTAGACCAGTAGTATCGCGCGATCCGCGACTGAAGTCAACGGCTCCAGTTCCGGAGCTGGGAACGGGAAACGTGGATCCTCGACTCCGACAGGGAACGACTGGCCAAAAGGATTCCAGAATCGACGGCCAGACGCAACCAGTCCCTAACATGATCACTGTACTTTCAGACCAATTAAAGCAGCAGTTAATATCGAAACAGGCTGTGACTAGCACTATGAACAAGCCTTCGTCAAATTTCGCCAGCTCAGATACCTCGACGACAAATGCTAGTAGTAATAGTAATGCTAATGCGAATCTTACTAGCTCGAGCACGAACAACAACACCAACAACAATAATAAAAGTTTCAGTGGTAACGCAAATAAAGATGCTGTCTCGCATCGCACGAGCCAAAAGAAAGACCCCCGATTGTCTAGTAATAATAGCGCTAATCTAAACAGCAGTAGTACAAAGAGCGGTCAGGGTCAGTCGTCCGCGGGCGGCGGTAGCTCTTCGGCTTTGTCCGGGAGCGGTAGAGGAGCTGGAGGAAGCGGTGACTCCAAGTCGAAAGATTCAAAGAGCTCAAGCTCGAGCTTGTCCTCGAGAGGCTCTTCGTCCTCGACCAATGAGAAATCCTCCGCTTCCTCGAAGTCCTCCCATAGGAAACTAGGAAACAAATCGCGGTCTAAGCAACCGCAATCATCGCCGAGCAAGATGCCGAAGGTCGAGCGCGACTTCAGTCCTGCTAGGTCGAAATCCCGCGAGAAGGACAGCGGCGATAGTTCACCGTCCGTGCGTACCTCTCCTCAATCCTCTCAAACATCCAAGAACCGAAAGAAGAATTCAAAATCGAGAAAGCGCACCCCAAGTCCACCTTATAGAATCCCTCGGCGCAACGAGAACAAATCCATCTCCTCTTTGAGTAATTCCGTTGGTCTTACCGAGGAGGAGCAATCAGGTTCCTTGATAGTATCTCCTCCTCATCCACCCACCTTCAAAGAGATTAGACCCAACGCTCGACAAAGAAACTACGTGAGACGCAATAAAGAAGGCAGCCACAGTCCGGAGCCAAATGCGCCCGGTACAGTGCAGCTGACCCAGACTACTATTTCTGAACCCATCCTGGATGCCTCCAGCAAGGACGAGGATCTCAGGGCGACTATACCATTGGCCGGTGCTGCCAGTGCAATCAACGTCTCAGAAAAGAGTGAGTCCATGTCTTCCATGGTGTCGCGTTCCTATCTTTACCAACCTTCTTTTTTTTTCTTTTTTTTTTTTTTAATTTCTTTTTTCAATTAGGTGATCTTTGTGTTTGTAGCTATAGATGCCTGGGTATCTCATTAATTTTGTATTACATCTTTTTTTTTTTTTAATTTCTTTTTTCAATTAGGTGATCTTTGTGTTTGTAGCTATAGATGCCTGGGTATCTCATTAATTTTGTATTACATCTTTTTTTTTTTTTTTTTTTTTTTTGAATTTCCTTCAATGTACTTGTAGCATCGGGGCTTCAAGATAAGCTCCATTTCTGGATACACCTCATAACATTATGTCTCTTTAAACCTTTTTTCTCCTTAGACACAGAGTTCATTGCTTTGCACAGTAACTCATTGCGTAATATTAGAAAAGACGCTGAATTGGTTTAATAGGGCAAGTGGTATTGCTAGGAGGTTTAAAGTTGCACTCCAGACTGATGTCTTTTACAGAGGAAGATTTGGATCTTCGCGTGTTGCCAGCCGTTGGTGCCAACAAGAGACAGAGCACCGAGCATCTGGAATCTTCTGTATCTAAGAAAACAAAGGCAGAGAAGTTCGATGCGTGAGTATTCTCTATTTTTAAAAAATTCTTAGAAAGGCGCAGGACATTGTTCAATGGGAATTATGTCTTCAACAGTTTGTTTGGAAATGAGGACGTCGACTTGCGAACCCTGACACATCCTAAAGCTGGTAGACCTCCGACACCACCTCCACCCGTCATATCTGGCGAGGATGGAAAAGAAGGGTGGGCGAAGCTGAAAACACCATCGAAGGGTGATCGAGAAAAACAAACAGGTGGTCCAGATGATAAGCGTGAACGAGATCGTAACAGAGATCGCCTTGGAAGGCCTCGATTATATAATAAATTACCTGACGATCCTAAGGAGAGGCGAAGAACTCTTTCGAGCGACGATCAAGATCCAAGAGGTGCTGGTCGTCGCGGTAGAGATGATAAACCAGAGAGAAATGCGGATAGGAATATTGAAATTATTATGAAACAGGCTGCCGAGCAGTTGAATCAGGGTTCTATCACTAAGACACAATATAATACACTGATTCAGGAGGTTCTGCAGATGAGCGAAGATCAGAAATTGAGGGCAGCTCAGCGAAAGGAAAAGGAAACCGGGTCGATAGTTTGGGAAAAGGGTGTGAACAATCTTGATATTAATTTGACTCCTGAAAGAGCAACGTTCAGTCCGTCGAGCGATGGAGAAGGTCACCGAGGTGGCAAAGATATGGCGTTATCCAGGAATCAGAACGGTCCCAGATGGCAGAATCAGCCATGGCAGCAACCGGGACCGTGGGCGCATCCGCCAGGTCCAGCATTTTCTGGACCTCAGGGACATTTTAATTCAGACTATCGACCAATGGGTCCTTGGCAAGGACCAAGGCACTATGGACCTCTCAGACCAGAATATAACCAGTATCATGGCGGTTTCAATCAAAACATGCCAAATCCACGATTGGGTCCAGGAATGATGGGTTCTATGGGACCCAATGGACCGATGATGTCAAATATGATGACGAATGGACCTATTGGGCCAATGGGCATGTCTAATTCTCCAATTGCACCTGGAATCGGAATGGCGGGAATGAATGGACCAGGTTCAATGATCATGAACAATGGACCAATCACGAGCAATCCAATGCCAAATATTATGGCCAACTCTAACGTAGGATCTCTTGGTTCTGGAACTACAGGAGGTAGAAATATATCGCCAAGCACGATGTCTAAATATGATAACGAAGATAATGAAAACAGTTATGGCGGAACGCTAGTCAAGAATCAAGGACAATGTAATCGTGAATTACCTCTACCGGATCCTAAACTATTGGAAGAGATTTCTAATGACTCCATGAAATCAATAAACATCGATACTATTCCAAGAGAGATAAGATACTATGGGCAAACTGGTGTTGTCTTTATGAGTTGGGACGATCCAAGAGAAATTGGTTTCCAGGATGGCATAAGGAGGGTTCTCATCGACGACAAAGATACCATCACCTGCGCATTTAATGATCCTTACAAGGAATTCATGTACGAGGGTGAAGTTCACAGGTATAAATCATTAATAAAAAATTTTTAATGATACCCATGTAACTGAAATATAGTTAAAATTTATTTAACAAATTATTATTTTTCAGAATTCGACTAGGCGCACCGACGAGGGAATTATACATTGATGATCGCTGGTATGAATGCTACTTTGGTGGACCAGCAATTACAATAGAATTGGGAGACAAGAAAGTCAATGTAAAGCTAGAGGGTCCACCACCTCAAGTCAAGATAGGAACAGTCAAGAGAACTGATCTTGTAGTCGGCAAGATAAATCTAATTATCAATGCCAGGAATATGGTTCCTGTGTTCCTTGACGCTAAACCACAAATGTGAGTATCAGTTCTACGAGACAGGTGTTTAAAGATGACAATTTGAAATTAAGTATTGATGTTTTAATCATTTTTCTGTTGTCTCAGATTTGAAATTGAAGGAAAGCCACATACACTCGAATTCATAGACGCGTTGCAAACTGTACTTTTGAATGGGCGACCGTTCAAAGTAGAATTTGGAGGACTGCCCAAACCCATCGTTGTCAGGGATAAGAAGCATTTCATAAGGTTTTCTGTATTGCCAAGAGGCGTGCGTGCTGGATGCGTAAGAATAGCTGGAATGAGAGGGGAAGGTCCAATTGAATCGCCACCACCACCTCCTCAGGCAGTTAGCAAATCTAAAATGGATGTTGTGTCAGTTGCACCGACGCTACCAGCTGTGGAACCTGATACGACGTCACAAGATGGATCTGATCTTGCTTCGACTCCAAAACCAGGTAAGTCTTAATGTTTTTTTTTGATTTGTCGACATTTAATAGGAATACTAGAACGCCTTACATCAACATTATATATTTTTAGATTTACAACTGGATATTTTGTCGTCAGTGCTGCCATCTGCAATGGCACCTTCTTCTGGACTTTCATATCATGCAGAACCCACGGAAAGTTCTGCGGCACCGGCACCTGTATTATCCTTACCATTGAATATGAACGAGCTATTCCAAAGGCTCGTTGAGACCGGTATAGTTCCTAATGTAGCCGAACAAAAGAAACCGGAAGAAGAAGAAAAGAAGGAACCGGAAATACTACCGGTGTCTTTCGACAAGCCAGAAACTCTTAAAATGTAAGTCATAGTAAACGTATTCGGAGTATTTTTAAATATAACAATAAATCTTAATATGTCTCTTTACATTGCAGTAAGCAGCCGGCTATTGCAGCAACACTGTACAGTGGGATGCAATGTAGCTCTTGCGGTGCAAGGTTCGCACCTGAACTTGCAACTAGATACAGTCACCATCTTGACTGGCATTTTAGACAAAACAGACGTGAAAGAGATTCTGCCAGGAAGGCTCATTCACGACCCTGGTATTATGATGTCAGTGACTGGATTCAGTTTGAAGAAATTGAAGATCTCGAAGATAGAGCACAAAGTTGGTTCGAGACTGAAAAGCAGACTGCGGAGAGCGAAGGTGCTGCCGCCGAGGACTCTCCTCAGGAAACTGTGCAACCTAGTGTTCCTACGGGATCTGATGAGGAGTCGAGGTGTCAGGTCTGCCACGATGCTTTCGAACAGTTCTACAACGAAGAAAAGGAGGAATGGCATTTGAGGCCAGCAGTCAACTTCGAAGGCAAGAATTACCATCCCCTGTGTCTGGAGGATCATAAGGTAAGAGATTTTTCTTTTTGAAGGGACTTGTGTAACTGCGCTTTACTCGTCACAGTCTTTTTGATTAATTTCTTTTGACTGTTACCACTCTTTTTCTGCGCTCATCTTACATAACAAATGGTTCGTCTGTTGCATCCTACGAAAATAGGAAAAGAATCTTGTGGTATGTGCTTCATAATAATTAATATTCCACTCAGTAGGCTGTACCTTTAGAAAATCACTGAACCTTCGAGAGCTAACCGTTCACGAGTGTACTTAGTAACGATTTGAGTATCAAGAAAAATCAGCACATATTGGATAACACGATCCTTATGTATTATACGACATTGTGTTACGTCAGTGAATAACGAGGATGTCCTTGAATTTTTAGCGAGTCCTGGAGAAGACGGCGTTGGCGCTTGACGAGACTCTGGCGGAGCTTGAGGACGAGAAGAAAGAGGAAACGCAAGTTAGTACAGAGGAAGCTAAGGAAGGGGAAGACGAGCAGGAGGAATATGATCCCGAGCAGCCGATAAAGGATTCCGTATTAGACGAGTCGATGGAAACGTCATGCGAAACGAGTGCGGAGACTCCTGTGGAAACAGAGAGTACCGATCAGTCCAAAAAGACAGAGGATGATGAACTGCAAGATGAAGTTGAAAGAGATAAAGACGAAGCAGAAACGCAGTCGGCGAATGAAAGTGCAGAGCTGTCAGAACCTAACAAAGAGGGATCGGAAACGTCGGTTCAAGAGGAAAAAGAAAAAACGGAGGAGACGGAGATCGAGTCTTTTGAGAATATTAAAATTAAAGAAGAACCCATCGACGCGGATGACTTTCCCCAAGGTCAGGATGAGGAGCAGCTGGAGTTTGCCAACTTAGAAATAAAGGAAGAACCCCTCGATCCGGAGCCCGGTAAGTTTTTATATTTTATAAATTGCATAGCCATAATGCACAGGGTCCTTTGAATACCGATTTGAATGAGTCAGAGGACAAATGCATATTAGGAGAAGGTTAGCAGTAGGTGCAGTGCAGTAGGTACAGGTGATGTATTATCCCATAGTAGACACTAGAACACGATGGACCTTTATTTTAATCTGCATGACTTTGACGTTCCATTTTGAAAAATAATTTTCTTGCTTTTCTCGTCACGTCGCCAAAACACCTTACGTTCCATATTTTAGGCACCAAAGCACATGAGACATGTGGGAATGTCTTATTGATTATTAGACACGTGGACGTAGAAAAATTGCAAGCTAACAAGCTCCTGAATGCTCAAGTCAATAAAATTGCTTTTGGCATATGACTCTACACAGCATCATGCATTCTTGTCAAATATCTTCTACCTTGTCACAATCCTATTAATCTAACAGGAAGTGGATAATGTTGCGATATAAATAACAATAACTGGAAAAAAGAAATAAATCATTTAACGGATTGTTCCCACCAGAGCCGGATGAGAGCGTAGTCAGTGAACCAGCAATGGTTGACACGACCCATGCTGCCATGAAGAGTTCAATCGATGGTAACGTCGAATTGGAATCAGCACCAACGTCCATTCCTGCGGCGCCATCCCGGATAAAGATCAACATAACGAAACCCTTGAACACAAGCAGTAACAAGGAAAGCGAAGAACCAAAGGAGAAGCCACAAACAGAGACCCCCCACGAGGAGAATCCTGAACCGTTGCATCCAGCATCGATAAAACCCAGTTTGCAGGGAAGAAAATTGTCGACCTTGCCCCCAGTGGATAAAGGACACGAGCTGTCCGGACTCTGCTCCATCATGTAAATAGTATTATACAAAGTGGTCGATGATTAATTTAAGAACGACGTGACCGGGCTCCTAGGGAAGCATCACTGACTTTTCATTTCTGTCTAGATATAGTTAGATACTAAGACTCTGTGCACGCAACATTTACGTGACTTTCTGTACAGCCTTTACGACATAACGAAGGACGGCTAGAATTATTTTTTTCTCTTTCACGTACTGGATCTTCGTGGTTAGTTTGTTCGCTTACTGGCAGTCGTATGAGCAATTTCTCATTTACCGAATTAACGTTTCAAATAATTGCTACATTGATAATTGTGGATTGGGCGAGGAAGAAGACTTTTTTCATTTCATGTTTGTCTTTTGATTTCGTTTTTTTTTTTTAAAGATTTTTTGTTACTAGCGTGTCAGTCGCAATGTCGTGTCGGCTAGTAGGTCCTTGGGCAACTTGTAAAGAGAGAAAAGGTAAATGAGTGAGCGCTGATTTAAAGAATATTGGCGCGTAAATATGTCACAAGGTCGTAAATTGGCGAAATCTGTATATATTAGTTGTAGACTAGCTGCTAGAATCTAACGTAGCTCTCGAGAATAACGTGAACTGGCATTCCTCGTAGTATCGCGTGCAGTCGAGTATGAGTCGTGACAACTAATTGAAATAGTTGACGAACGAATCGATACCTACGACTCGCACAAAGGACATAGAGATTTCATACCGTTTATAATACTTTGTAAAAGATATGAGGAAGAGTTGTGAAAAGTATAGTTGAGGATACTTTTTGAGTTTTTACAAATCATGATACTTATTTTGTTTTTACGTCAACTCTAGACTGAAGAAGATAGCTTGAGAGAAGCGAATGTGGTGCCTGCAGAAGCACATTCATTGAAGATCAATGAGAGATAGTCTCGTCTTCAGTTGTTAAAAGTGTACAAAATGTGTGATATATGGTTATCTATTTTAATGTACATACATCCGGCGACAATACCGCTCGCAGATAATAACGGATAAGCGAAATTACTATAGAAAATCATTATTTTGTTGTATAAAAAGAAACACTTGTTGATCACTTCGGGGGTTTTGACTTTCTTTGGTTACTTATTTATCATCACCCTTACATATTCTCTAACCCTTCTATAATACCTTAACTAGTTACTGCTGCTGAAGAAAGTATTTTTTTTCTTTTTCTCTTCGTATTGCATATGCAATTACGATTATTTGAATGAATAAAGAATGATTATTACATACTTTATGCACTTTAGTTGAACTTCATCTTATAGTTAGTAATGCAATAAAGGTTTATCAAAAAGTTTTAAGTGTCTTATTTTTTTCTTTTTTCTATAACATTGAACACCTTTCATTCCTGTTAAGTCAATTCGTTGAAGCTTTGAGCTTTTGCTTCTATGGTATGACTATAATGATAGTCTGCAATAATTGTTCACAGATTACAATTGTGTGGCCATCTTGGAAAAGGAATTGTATCCTTGATACTGGCTATGCCTAAGACGCATTGTAAGAATCTTTCGAAGCCCACTCCAAAACCAGCTGTTGGAATATTTCCATATTTTCTTAATTCTAAATACCACGCGAGATTTGGTACTGTCGATAATTTGAATTGTAATTTCTCGTAATCATCTTCACGTACGCTTCCTCCTACGAGTTCTCCCACCTGAGGAGCCAAGAGGTCCAACGCAGCTACCTTTGACATCAGAACGAAAGAGAGAGGATAGTTTTATGGAGATTCTCAATAGAACTAGACAATGGACCCAGTTTTCCATTTCTGTGAATTTATCTTACCTTTGATAAATCATTGGAGCATTCTTTCATATAGAATGGTTTTATTTCCTTTGGCCAGTTTATGACAAAAACTGGAACATCATTGTTATGTTGCACGAGAAACATTTCATGCTCCTTTGACAAATTATCTCCATGTCTGATTGGAAAGGTTATACGATCTGCGTGATTATCTAGGATTTTTAATGCTTCGTCGTAAGTTATTAATCCAAATTTTTCATTGAGCCATTTTGGCTCAGATGCGTCGATGTTATTCATATCAGAAGCACCCTTGTCGACTAAGGCCCTAGTTACAAACTTAACGAGAAGCTCCACTTCCCTGGCAACTTCTTCAATATCGTCAACAAATGCCATTTCAGCTTCTATCATGTAAAATTCTGACAAATGTAATCGCGTACGAGAATTTTCAGCTCTAAAGGTTGGACCAAACGTATAAACCTTTCCAAGTCCCCTGAAAATATTCTTTTGTAACATATAATGAAGCAAGGTCCCATTTATATACTATGATTATACCTTGCAAGAGCTTCTAGATGCAATTGACCTGATACAGTGAGATATGCTTTAGTGTCAAAGTATGACTGTTCCTCAGGTATATTGTCTTTTTTCATACTTGTCAAAATTTCATGTGAATCAGGTCTCACCAAGAAGACTTCACCTGCCCCTTCACAATCATTTGATGTTATTATTGGTGTATGTACATTAATAAAACTTCTTTCTCTAAAATGATCAGCAACAGCGGAAGAGGCTATATCTCTTAATCTAAGTACGCTAGCAAAACCTCTTGTCCTGGGTCTTAAGTGTAAGAACTTTCTAACATATTCTGTGCTGTACTGTTTTCTTGGTACAAATGGATATCCATTTGTTACATCGCATGCACCGATAACAGAAATTGATTCAGCACGTAACTCCGTTCTGCCATTAGGAGCTAATGCCAGCTCTCCCTCTACAGACACACTACTTCCATAAGTCAAATTATTTGGTTTGTTAGATTTTGGTACAACAACCTGCAAGTACTCACAGCAGGAGCCATCATTGATATCAAGAAAAATATTATCTTTCATCTTGCGTACCGCACGAATCCATCCCTAATCGAAAATACGAGCTATTAGAGGCATTCAGAAAAATCTCCATCCCGAGAAAGCGTTAACGAACAACAACTGTGAATACAAATGATATAATTAAAGAATATCAATAAAATAATTGAAATTTCAAATTTCATACCGCCCACAGTAATATATAACAAGAACGGCATCAAACAATAAATAACTAAATTTGTTGAATAATCAAATTAAGTTTGACATTAAAATCTTCACGAAGAACGTAATGAAAATCGTCTAACCTTTACCAAGGTGCGCTTCCCCACAGCTTCTTTCGCATTAGCCTCAGCAATTCTCGCAAAGTTGTGTGCCTCGCGTTTTGAGATTAGCTTTGAAGAAAATATCCTCGAAAAATTTCTTAGTATCATAATGAAAGGAATGCCTCTTGTAATTTACTTTGAACAAATCTTCAGAGAATAAATGCTATAAAATAGAATTAAATTAATCGAGCTTTCCTCTCTTATCTACACAACGTGCGAACCAAAGGCGTCACCAAGTTCCAATTACAACCAACGAGCACGAAAAAGCTACTGATAAAGAAATTCAACTACTTAGGACAGAGAGGAGTAGGGAAATGCACACCGCTACGGTTTTAGGCGAAACCAAAAACATGGCGCTGAATCGCAGCGGCGAGTCCGGAAGTAGAGTTTCGTGATCATCGCCTTCGTCAATAATGCGGATCCCGTCGTAGTCGAGCTGACCGCAATCACGAACGTATAGCTTGGCAGGTAGAAGTACTCCGCTACTTATCGCTGGTTCCCAAAGCAATACTTACAACGAGGAAGCTTATCGGATATAGCGTAAATATTTTTTGCTTTGCAATCCTAAATTCGAGCGCGCAGTGTAAGCTCGGTAAGTTTAATATGACAAAGCCAACAAGTCATGCCTGCCAGAATTGAAGCGTATGATGCCACCAGTATATTTAATAGATATTTTACCAATGTTTTGACTTTTCGCGTTTAACTTAGTTTACCTTTTGCATTTTTCTTGTCACTCGACTCGACTTCCCTCTTTTCCTAAGCCCTCCCCC